GGCTATCTTAAATGTTCTTCCCCCAAAATGAGATTGATGACTACATTAAGTGCCACTCTAGAGACTTCATAGTAGGTGATGGAAGCAGAAGCAGAGATTCATTAAGCTCTGAGTGAAACTCTTGGAATCCAGTGGTAGATAAAAAGAAGTGATGACGATAAAAAGGGGTCAAGACGATGGTGGGGAAACCTACAGAAACAGCTGTCCTGAGCAAGTGTGAGTTCATTGACCCCATCCACATAGCTGGGGAACCAACATAGGTCCAAACAACGCCACCTGAAACTGGGTGACAGTTAGGAGGACTGGAAAGTCCTTGTGGCCTCTTGCTGTGGAACCAGTTTTTATTCCTTGTGCACAAATGGACTTTGGGAACCTCCATGGAGGGATCTCCCTCAGCCTAGATACACTGGGAGTGCCTAAGCCCTTCCTCAAATGATTTGACAGACTTGGGTGATCTCTCATGGAAGGTCTCACACTCCCTGGGTAATGGATGGGGAACAGGACTGGGGGGATCAGGGATAGAATGAGAGGATGGGAGGGAGAGAAACTGGGATTGATAATGTAAAATAAGATTGTTTCTAATTTAAATAAAAAAAACTGCACTGGAAAAAAACATAAAAAAAAAAATCTTGTATCTCACCCTGTGGGTAGTGGTAAAGTCTGCTAAACTGAGTCTTTAGGAGGCAGTGACAGGGAGATATCTGTGAGTTCAAGGCCAGGATGTTGTATAGAATGAGTTCTAGGACAGGCTCCAAAGCTACAAAGAGAAACCCTGATACAAAAAAAAAAACAGCAAAAAATTATATATCTGTAGTAATCTCATCATAATTAATACTATCCCTCCCCTTTCTTTAAGTAATATATTTTAAAAATATATACTTAATACTATATCTTCCATCTCTTTCTTCCACTTCTACATAACTTTGCCAAAATGAATGGTGAACTTTCTAGGTCAGTTTCTTGATATATTCATGAATACTGACATTAATCTATAAAAACATAAGAAAGAACCATAAGCAACAACTATAAAATCCCCAACAAACCCTAAATCAGCAACTGTGCATTTAAAGGGAATCATTTTGTTGTAAATAAAACATGCTAGATAGTCTCAAGTTTCTCCTTACAATATAATTGATTGCAGTTCTTTATTAAACTTTTACTAAATCCATCAAGAAAAATCTATAATTTCTTTAAACAATTGTGAGAACAGCGATTCAAGGAATCAATATTGAAGCACTAACTGTGGTGAAATAAGAGCATCATGGCTGCATACTAAGGACTAATACAAAATGATGGGGAAAGTACTTCTGTGTATGTTTATCTTATTGATTGTTAAATAAAATACCGTTTAGCCAATGAGACAGCAAGTTAGACAGGACTAGGAGTCAAAGAGGATTCTGGGAAATATAGTAGAGAAGTGGTGATCCAGACATGAAGTGACATAACAAGGAGACTCATATTTAAGCGAAGGAGAAACAGGAAGGGTACCTTTTCCCCTTGCTCCTACAGCAACACAATGTGTTCCACTGGCAAGGAGGGATGCCAATAAGGAGTCCAATAAGATAAGTCTTATATAATATATAGATTGATGATAATTAAGACTGAGCTAACAGATGGGAATCCTAGTCATTGGCCAAGCAGCATTGTACCTAATACAAGTTTCTGTGTATTCATTTTGGCCCTAACTCAGGAGGGTGGCTGGCGTAAAGCTCACATGTGGCAGTGGGGCTTAGGCAGCTTTTGGCAGAAAGATTTATCATAACAACAAAATAATCAACAAAAAATTCCAAAATGTTTAGCAATAGACCTAGTGACTAAGAGTGGAAATTTTATTCTTTTGTTTCTTTCCTCAACTGATAACTTTGAAAGTTAAATCATATATAGGAGTTTACCCTGGAGTATGTTTTGTGTGGCTGCATTGTATATAAAGCACAATTAATGAGAAGTTTGATAAGTTAACTGGAAAGCATTAAACTACAAATAAGTGGTCTTCATTACTGTGGTTATAGATGTTAATTTTTTTCCATTTTTTATTTAAAGTAGAAACAGGATTGATTTACATGACAATCCCATTTCTCTCTCCCTCCATTCCTACCTGCTCCCCAGTAACACCCTAATCCCTACCCTTTGTGCTCTCCAGGGAAGAGAGACCTTCTATGTGGGATATTCAGAGTCTGTCATACCCTTTGGAAGAGGGCCAAGGCCCTCCCCTGTGTGTTTAGGCTGAGAAAGATCCCTCTCTGTGGAATGGGCTCCCAAAGTCCATTCATATGCTAGGGATAAGTTCTGATCTACTATGAGAAGCCCCATAGATTTCCAAGGCTTCCTCACTGCACTCACCTTCATGGTGTCTGGATCAGTCCTGTGCTGGTTTACCAGCAATCAGTTTGGGCTCATTGAATTCCCCTTTGTTCAAATCAGCTTTTTCTGTGGGTTTCTCCATCCTGGTCTTGACCACTTTCCTCAACACTCCTCCCTCTCTGCAACTGGATTCCAGTTCAGTTCAGTGTTTTATTGCTGTGAGTGTCTGCTGCTACTTCCATCAGCTACTGGAGGAAGGCTCTAGGATCTCATTACCAGGGAAAGGCATTTAAAGTAGCCGCTCCAGTGTTGCTTAGATTGTTAGTTGATGTCATCCTTGCAGATCTCTGGACATTTCAATAGTGCCATATTTTTCTTTAAACCTATACTGGCTCCCTCTTTATGGTATCTCTAATCTTAACTCCTCTATTCTTCCCCCTACTGGAACTTCCTTATCCTCCTAACCTCCACTCCCATCCCCTTCACACATTCTCATTCTTCTAGCTTTCTCTTCCAGCACCCCATGCTTGTAATTTTCTCAGGAGCTCTTGTCCCTTTCTCCTTCTCTTGGGCACCATGTAAGTATCTCTTAGGGTCCTACTTCTTACCTCGCTTCCCTGCGGTGTGGATTGTAGGATGGTAATACTTTGCTCTATCTCTAAAATCTATATATGAGTGACTACTTACCATGTTTGTCTTTTTTAACTGGGTTACATTGCTCAGAATTGTTTTTTCTAGTTCCATCCACTTGCCTGCAAATTTCAAGATTCCCTTTTTCCCACTGTGTAGTATTCCATTGTGTAAATGTACCACATTTTCTCTATCCATTCTTCAATTGAAGAACATCTAAGTTGCTTACAGGTTCTGGTTATTACAAATATTGCTGCTATGAACATGGTTCAAGAGATGTCCTTGTTTCATGAATGTGCATCTTTAGGGTATATGCCTAAGAGTGGAATTGTTGGATCTTCTGGTACATTGATTAGAATTTTCCTAAGAAATCTCCATACTGATTTCCAAACTGGCTGTATGAGTTGGCTCTCCCACCAGCAGTGGAGGAGTGTTCCCCTTTCTCCACATCCTCTCCAGAATAAACTGTCTTTCCTGTTTTTGACAGGAGTAAGATGTTATCTCAGAGTTGTTTTGATTGGCTTTTTCCTGAGGGCTAAGGATGTTGAGAACTTTCTTAAGTGTCTATGGACCACTTTAGACTCTTCTGTTGAGAATTCTCTATTTAGCACTCTACCTCGATTTTTAATCGGATTATTAGGTGTTTGGGAAACTAGTTTCTTAAGTGATTTGTAAATTTTGGAGAACAACCCTCTGTGGGATGTGGGGTTGGTGAATATCTATTCCCATTCTGTAGGCTGCCATTTTGTTTCTTGAGTGTGCTCTTTACCTTACAGAAGCTTCTCAGTTCCAGGAATTCCCATTTATTAATTGTCAATCTCAGTGTCTGTGCTACTGGTGTTACGTTCAACAAGCAGTCTCCTGTACCATTTCATTCAAGGGAACTTCACACTTTCTCTTCTAATAAGTTCAGTCTGGCTGTATTAATGTTGAGGTCTTTGATCCATTTGGTCTTAAGTTTTGTGCATGGTGATAGACATAGATCTATGTGCAGTCTTCTACATGCCAGCATCCAGTTATGCCAACACCATTTGTGGAAGACACTTTCTTTATTCCATCGTATAATTTTACCTTCTTTGCCAAAATCAGGTGTTCATAGGTGTGTAAATTAATATCACAGTTTTCAATTCAATTCCATTGTTCTACCTATCCATTTTTGTGCCAATACCAAGCTGTTTTCAGGACTATATCTCTATAATACAGTTTGAATTCAGGACGGAGATATTTCCACAAGTTCCTTTATTGTACAGGGTTGTTTTGGCTATTCTGGGTCTTGTTTTTCTCCATATAAACTTGAGTATTGTTCTTTCAAGGTCTGTGAAGAATTGTGCCAGTATTTTGATGGAGATTTCATTGAATATGCAGATTGCTTTTGGTAAGATTGCCATTTTTACTATGTTGATCTTACCTATTTAAGAGCATGGGATATCTTTCCATTTTTGATATCTTCTTTAATTTCTTTCTTTAAAGACTCAATGTTCTTGCTATACAGGTCTTTCATTTGTTTGGTTAGCATTACCCCAAGATATTTTATGTTCTTTTGTGGCTAGTGTAAAGGGTGATGTTTCTCTGATATCTTTCTCAGCCCATTTATTGTCTGTATATAGTAGGGCTACTGATTTTTTTGAGTTTATCTTGTATCCTGCCAATTTCTGAAGATGTTTAACAGTTGTAGGAATTCGTTGGTAAAGATTTTAGGGTCACTTATGTAGATTATCATAACATCTGCAAATAGTGAAAGTTTGACTTCTTCCTTTCCAATTTGTATCCTTGTGATCTCCTTGTGTTTTCTTATTGCACTAGCTAAAACTTCTAATTCAATATTGAAGAGATGGAGATAGTGGACAGCTTTGTCTTGTTCCTGATTTTAGAGGAATCACATTGAGTTTCTCTCCATTTAGTTTGATGTTGGCTTTTTTTTTTTACTCTATCAGTTCTGTTTCTGTTATCCCTGATCTCTCCAGGACCTATATCATGAAGTGTGTTGGATTTTATCAAAGGCTTTTTTCAGCATCTAGTGAGATGATCATGTGGTTTTTCTTTTTCAGTTTGTTTAAATGGTGGATTACATTGATAGATTTTTCTATGTTGAACCAACCCTGCTTCCCTGGGATGAAGCCTACTTGATCATGGTGGGTGATTTTTCTGATGTGTTCTTAGAAATGATTTTCCAGTAATTTATAGAATATTTTTGCATCAATGTTCATGAGGGATATTGGTCTGTAGTTCTTTTTCTTAGCTGTATCTTTGTGTGGCTTCGGTACCAAGGTAATTGTATCTTCTTAAAAAGACTTTTGTTATGAACCTTCTCCTTTTATTGTGCAGAACCATTTGAGTAATTTTTTGAATTTCTGGAAGAATTCTGCACTGAAACTTTTTTTTTGTTTTTGGTTGGGAGACTTTTGATGATTACTTCTATTTCATTACTGGTTATATGTCTAAGTTGTCTATCTGTTCACAAGATACAATTTTGATAAGTGATATATCTCCAGTAAATTGAACATTTCCTTTAAATTTTCAAATTTTGTGGAGTATATATTTTCAAAGTATGACCAAAAATTCTCTGAATTTCCTGAGTTTCTGTTGTTATGTCCTGCTTTTCATTTCTTATTTTGTTAATTTGCATGTTCTCTCTCTACCTTTTGGTTAGTTTCCATAAAGGTTTGCCGATCTTGTTGATTATTGAGACAACCAACTCTTTGCTACATTGATTCTTTATATTGCTTTGTTTTGACTTTGTTGATTTCTGCCTTCAGTTTGATTATTTCCTGGCATATACTCCTCCAGGTTGAGTTTGCTTCTGTTTGATCTAGAGCTTAAAATTGTCCTGTTAATTGTCTAGTGTGATTATTCTCCAGTTTCTTCATGTAAGCACTTAGTCCTGTGAACTTTCTTCTTAGTACTGCTTTTGAAGTGTCCCATAAGTTTAGGTATGTTGTATCTTCATTTTCATTGATTTCTAGGAAGTCTTTAATTTCTTACTTAATTTTTTCCTTGACCCATAAATGGTGCAATCACCCATGATAAATTACCATGAGTTTATAGGGTCTACAATTTGTGTTGTTGTTAAATTCTCACTTTAACAGTTGGTAGTCTGATAAGACACAGGGGGTTATTACAATTTTTTTGTACCTGTTGAGGTGTGCTATGTTGCAGAGTATGTGGCCAATTTTGGAGAAGGCTCTATTTGGTGTTGAATAGAAATTATATTCTTTTGTGTTCTGTTGGGATATTCTATAGATGTCTGTTAATCCCAATTGGGCTTATCTTCTGTTAGATCCTTTGTCTCTTTGTTAAGTTTCTTTCTGGTGTTCCTGTCTAATGTTGAGAGTAGGGTGTTGAAGTCTTCCATTACATCTGTTTGTGGTCCTATGAGTGATTTTTGTTTTAGTAATATTTCTTTTATGAACATGGGTGCTTTGGATTTGTGGCACAGATATTCAGAATTGAGACTTCTTCTTGGTGGATTTTTCCTGTGATGAATATGAAATGACCTTCTTCATCTCTTTTGATTGATTTTAGTTTGAAGTCTAATTTCTTTGATACTAGGATAGTTACATCAGCTTGTTTCTTGGGTCCATTTGATTGGAAAATCTTATTTCAAGCATTTAATTTGAAGTAATGTCTGTCTGTAAAATTAGGGTGTCTTTCTTGTATACAGCAGAAGGATGGATTTTGTCTTCATATCAATTCTGTTAGCACTGTGTCTTTTTATAGGCAAGTTAAGACCATTAATATTGAGGGTAATTAAGGACCATTGTGTTTTAACTTTTCTTTGTTTTTGATTTGTTGTTGGTGGTCGTAATGTGTATGGATTTACCCCACTTATTCTTTTGGCTTTTGGTAAAGCAGGATTATTTTTCCCCATGTTTTTGTGAGTGTAGTTAACTTCATTAGGTTGGAGTTTTACTTCCTGTATTTTCTGTAGGGCTGGATTAGTGATTAGATTGTTAGTTGGTGTCATCTTTGTAGATCTCCAGACATTTCCCTAGTGCCTGATTTTTCTTTAAACCTATAATGCATTCTTCTATTGTATTATCTCTTATCTTGCTTTCTTCTGTTCTTTGGTTTGCCAGTATTTTATTGAGCATTTTTGCATCGATATTAATGAGGGATATTGGTCTATAGTTCTCTTTCTTAGTTGTGTCTTTGTGTGGCTTGAGTACCAAGGTAATTTTAGCCTAGTAAAAAAGAGTTTGGCAATGCACATTCTGCTTCTGTTGTACGGAACAATTTGAGGAGTATTGGTATGAGATCTTCTTTGAATTTCTGGTAGAATCCTGCACTGAAGCCATGTGATCGTGGGCTGTTTTTGGTTGGGAGATTTTGATGATTGCTTCCATTTCCTTTAGGAATATAGTTCTGTTTAAGTTTCTTATCTGTTCTTGATTTAATTTGGTTAGGTGATAACCTGTCCAGAACATTGTCCAATTCATTTAAATTTTCCAATTTTGTGGAGTAGAGGTTTTCAAAGTATGACCTAAAGATTCTCTGGATTTCCTCAGTGTCCGTTTTTATGTCCCCCTTTTCATTTCTGATTTTTTTAATTTGTATGATCTCTCTCTGCGTTTTGGTTAGTTTGGATAAAAGTTTGTCTATTTTGCTGATTTTCTTGAAGAACCAACTCTTTGTTATATTGATTCTTTAAATTGTTTTCCTTGTTTCAACTTCATTGATTCCTGCCATCAATTTGATAATTTCCTGGAATTTACTCCTCGGTGGGGGGGGGATTTGCTTCCATTTGTTCTACAGCTTTCTGCTGTGATGTCAATTCTGGTGTAACTATTCTCTAATTTCTTCATGTAAGCACTTAGAACTATGAACTTTCCTCTTAGTACTGCTAACAATGTGTCCCATGTGTTTGGGTATGGTGTCTCTTCATTTTCATTGAATTCTAGGAAGTCTTTAATTTCCTTCTTTATTTCTTCTTTGATCCAGTAGTGATGCAATTGCATATTTTTTCAGTTTCCATGAGTTGGTAAGTTTTATGCAGTTTGTGTTATTTTTAAATTCTAACTGTAAAGCATGGTGGTCTGACAAGACACAGGGGGTTATTCCAATATTTTTGTACCTGTTGAGGTTTGCTATGTTGCTGAGTATGTGATTGATTTTTACAGAATGTTCCATGTGATGCTGAAAAGAAGGTATATTCTTTTGTGTTTAAATGGAATGTTCTATAGGTATCAGTTAATCTCAATTGGGTCATAACTTCTGTTAGTTCCTTAGTCTCTTTGTTAAGTCTCTGTCTATTGGTCCTGCCCAGTGGTGATAATGGGGTGTTGAAGTCTCCACTATAACTGTGTGAGGTCTTATTTTTTATTTGAGTTTTAATAATGTTTCTTTTATGAACGTTGGTGTCTTTGTATTTGGGGCATAAATGTTTAGAATTGAGACCTCTTCCTGATGCATTTTCCTATGATGAGTGTAAAATGACCTTCTTCATCTCTTTTGATTGATTTTAGTTTGAAGTCTAATTTGTCAGGTACCAGGATAGCTACCCCAGTTTGTTTCGTGGGTCCATTTGATTGGAATATTGTATCTGAACCCTTTACTCTGAGGTTATGTCTGTCTTTGAAGTTGAGGTGTGTTTCTTGGATGCATATTCTGTCTTCATATCCATTCTGTTAGCCTCTATCTTTTAATTGGTGAGTTAAGTTTATTAATATTGAGGGAATTTAATGAACATTGAGTGCTTATTCTTGTTTGTTTTTTATTCATTTTTGGTAGTGGTATTGCATATGGCTTTACCCTGCTTTTTCTTTTGGGTTTGGTAAAGTGGGATTATCTATTGCCTATGTTTTTGTGAGTGTAGTTAATTTCCTTAGGTTGGATTATTCCTTTCAGTATTTTCTGTGGGGCTTGACTAGTGGTTACATATTGTTGAAATCTGGTTTTGTCATGGTATATCTTGTTTTCTCCATTTATAGTGATTGAAAGCTTTGCTGGGTATAGTAGTCTGTGCTGTTATCTGTTTTCTATTAGAGTTATTAGACTATCTATCCATGTCCTTCTGGCTTCCAGAGTTTCCATGGAAATGTCTGGTATATTTCTGATAGGTTTGCCTTTATATGTTACTTGACTTTTTTTCCTTTGCTGCTCTTAATACTCTTTTTTTATTCTGTATGTTGGTGTTTTAATATTTATGTGACTAGGGGATTTTCATTTGTTGTCCACTCTACTTGGTGTTCTATAGGCTTCATCTACTTTCATTGGCATGTCTTTCTTTATGTTGGGAAAGTTTTCTTCTATGATTTTGTTGAATATGTTTTCTGCACATTTGAGTTGGGTTTCTTTACCTTCTTTTATACTTATTATCTTTAAGTTTGCTCTTTTCACTGTGTCCCGTATTTCCTGGATATTTTGTGTTAAGGATTTGTTGCACTTAAGATTTTCTTTGCTTGATGAAACTATTTCTTTTAGTTTATCTTCATTGTCTGAGATTCTGTCTCCCATCTTTTGTATTCTATTGGTTATGCTTGCATCTGTGGTTCCTGATTGTTCAGTCAGCTTTTCAGGCATTTTCCACTTCCAGCATTCCCTCAGTTTATGTTTTCTTTATTGTTTCAATTTCAGTTTTCATGTATTGAACTGTGTGAATTGTTTCCTTCAGTTTTTCATTGTATTTTCATGGGGTTCCTTAAAAGATTTGTGGATTTCTTACATCTTTTGGTTTGTCTTTTCTTCCATTTCTCTAAAGGATTTTCTCATTTCTTCTCTTATTGTCTCTATCATCTGCATGAAATTGTTTTTAAGGTTGCTCTCTTCTGCTTCTTCTGTATTGGAATGTTCAGTCTCTAGGCTCTGTTGGCATCATTTTGGTTTTGCTGTTGCTGGATGTGTTCCTATATTGTCATCTTTCCATCTTTACTTCCAGTGGGTGCAGGTGGTATCTCTTACTTTCCTGGTCCATCATTCTTTGCCGGTGGGTACAAGAGTGTCCAATACTCTGATGGGTCTCAAGGTGGGTGCAGGCAGGTCTGATGCACTTTGTCTCCAGGTGAGTGGAAGCAGGACTAGCAAAGAGATGTCAGCAGACTCAAGCATGCTTGGTCCTTGGGACCAAGTCATCCTGCCTGTAGACCCCAGGATGGTTGTTCCCAGAGTGGGTAGACAGAAGTTGGGCCCAAGGCTGGGTCTGAATCAGCTCACCTCTACCCTGAGTGGGGGTGGGAGTAGCCCAGAGTTCTTAGAGTGGACAGGCAGAAGTTGGGTTGAAGGTATATTTTTAAGTCAATCCAACCATTTGAAAAATTAAAAAGGAAATACAGATGAAGAGAATAGGTTATGGCTTAGGATCATATATATCATTAACTTGGAGTTTGAAATTAGTTTACCAAAATGATTTTTATTAACAGTACAATTAATCTGTTGAAATTGAAAAGAAAATATGATTAATGTTTTGGGATACTGTATTGAATTATGTATCTATGCTATAAAGACAGACACCTCATAATTTTGATGCAATTCATCATTGCCGTAAGTAAATCAGATATGCATCTGTTTCCCTACATGTCTAAATTGCTGGTCTAAAAACAGAAGCTCTAAACTCAATTCTGGAACAGAAGAGTTCATTCAATTAACATAGGAAACAATATGTAAACATAAATTATAGTATTCATCCCGTCTTCAGATTTAGAACTCTAATGTGACTTTTTTTATGAGAATATATTCACTATTGATCCCTCTATTCACTCAGAGATATTCATCAAAACACATTAGAAATTTTATCACCTATTTGAAATTTTTATGCATAGTCCATGGATTAAAAAGCTTACCATTAATGCAGTATCAATGTGTCTGTGGTATTACTGCCTAGTTTCATTTCAATTTTCTTATAATATCAGAGAGAACTGTATAGTAGAGCATTCCAACTCATTCTTTTTTTTCTATTACTTTTATTGAAATTAGAAACAAGCTTGTTTTATATGTCAACCCAGTTCCCTCTATCTACCTTGCTCCCCTCTCCTGCATTATCCCCCTAACCCATCTGCTTTCTGGTCCCCGGGGAGGCTGAGTCCTTCCCTGAGAGATCTTCAAGTCTGTGATATCATTTGGAGCAGGGCCTAATTCCTGCCCTGTGTGTCTAGGCTGAGAGAGTATCCCTCTATGTGGAATGGGCTCCCAAAGTCCATTCCTATGCTAAGGATGAATACTGATCTACTATCAGAGGCTCCATAGATTGACCAGTCCTTCTCACTGACACCCAAGTTCAGGCAGTCTGGAACAGTCCTATGCTGGTTTCCCAGCTATCAGTCTGGGGTCCAAGAGATCCCCATTGTTCAGTTCAGCTGTTTATGTGGGTTTCACCAGCCTGGTCTTGACCCCTTTGCTCATCACTCCTCCCTGTCTGTAACTGGATTCCCGGAGTTCGGTTCAATGTTTAGCTGTGGGTGTCTGCTTCTGTTTATATCAGCTACTAGATGAAGGCTCTAGGATGACATATAAGGTAGTCATCAATCTCAGTATTGGAGAAGGTCTTTTAAGGTAGTCTCTCCACTATTCCTTAGATTATTAGTTGGTGTCATCCTTCTAGATCTCTGGACATTTCCCTAGTGCCTGATTTCTCTTTAAACCAATAATGACTCCCTCTATTATGGTATCTCTTATCTTGCTCTCCTCTAATCTTCACCCAACTCAGTCTTCCTGCTTTCTCATGTCCTCCTCTCCCCTCCTTTTCTCTCCTTCTGTTTCTTCTAGCTCCAGCTCCCCTCCCACAATTCTCCCAATTAGGTCATGAGATCTTGTCCCTTTCTTCATGTATGTTTTTCTTAGGGTCCTCCTTGTTTCCTAGCTTCTCTGGAGGTGTAGCTTTTAGGCTAGTAATCTTTTGGTTGTCTAAAATCCATATTTGAGTGAGTTCATACTATGTCCGTCTTTTTGTGACTGGGTCATATTGCTCAGGATTGTTCTTCAAATTCCATCCATTTGCCAGTGCATTTCAAGATTCCATTGTTCCTTTCTGCTGAGTAGTACTCCATTGTGTAAATTCACCACATTTTCTTTATCTATTCTTAAATTGAGAGGCATCTAGATTTTTTTTTTTTTGCCTGCATTTGGGCATATACTTTCTGAAGGGGCAACACATTTCAAGTATCTTTGTGGTCTACTGTGTGTTCTATATCAAAGAAAAACACTGCTTTCTGCATATTACATTAAATAAGAAAAAGGTGGTTGTGTTTGAAAAGCTCAATGGTGAAAAAATAGATAAAAATACTTCAAGTTTTAGTATATGGCCACTTTGTTATTGTATTTATTTATATTTTTCTCTATTCAATTATAAAGATGTTACAAAATCTATCCTAGATATGTTGGGACATTCTGTGGTCTCAGCATTTGCCAGGTATTATCGGAGAGTGTAGAAACATGAAGAAATTCTGTTCAAAGTCACTACTTTCATGTAAGCCAGTGACACATGAGAATACATCTCACACAAATATGCATCTGATTTTCCGTTAAAAAAGAATTTTTACATTTAAACTTCATAGAGTTGAACTGGAAACTCTACATAGACATTTTTACTATTTAACCACTACAAAGTTATTGCATATTTTACTATTAATATAATATTCAAAGAATTGCTGTTGGTCAGAAATATGTTTAAAATATTTATTTGAAAGATGATTAGAGAAAAACCAGATTGCATACTCATGGAAATACAATCAGTCAATATTTCTGTTCTGAGATATCTCATTCTGACTATGCTCATTCATGCATATAATGTCACCCATCTAGCTTGTCATGATCATGGTAATAGAATTCATTGTAACACAGTGTTTCTGGCATATTCAGTAATGTTATGCTCCACTGAATTCTTATAACATAGCCTTCAATAAAGCAATGCTACACACATATAAATAATGACTATGGGACTGTTCTGAAAATTAAAAACAAACAAAGAACTAAATAAAAGGCTCAGTGAAAGCAGGCTCATCACACATTATTGAATCTGAAATCCTTTGTGTTTCTCTTTCAGTTCATCATTTCACTGGCAGATGAAAAACTGATTTTTCAGCCCCAGATGAAAGAGAAACTTCTAGAAGATGAAGGTTATTCTGCTTGCTGTTCTTGTCTGTTTGGTGTCTTCCATGAAGGAGCCTTTACTGGTACAAGGATGGGCTTTCAGGGGGTTATACACTGGCAAAGGGTGCTGTGGTGAATTTCCAAATTTTACAACTGATGATCAATGTGATTCTATGAATTTGTGCACCTCCATGTCTTAAAAATTATTTGTGTTAGTTTCGAGATTTTAATTACTTCATTTGCATTTCCTTTATTGCCTAACTTCTTGTTTTAAGGATACAATTACTTCATTTGTGCTTCCTATATTGCCTCCTTTCTTGGGTAAAGGTTAGAAAATCACCTTTTATAATACCATTTTTTACATACCATATATACTTTACCACAATTAATAATATTTTCATAGCTAAAACCTCATCCATAATTTCATACAGTATTTCACTGTCTTAAAATAAGTCAGAGATGAATTTTGATAAACACCATAGAAAAACTTAATCAATCTAATACTTGCATGACAAATACATTGTATATTATGCATTTGATGCTTCGGTCTCTTTATGTTTGAAAGTCATCCTACTATGTTCAATGTGTGGGATATCACTGACATGAATTATAATCCAGTTACATATCCAATAAAAAGACTTGGTTATTTTTAAAGTTATAAGATATTAACTTGGAGGTGTGTGTGTGTGTGTGTGTGTGTGTGTGTGTGTGTGTGTAATTGTCCATGACAACTGCAGGTTCATAAAAATGCAGCAAGGGTATAGTAATCAGAGCAAAACCAACTAGCAGGACAGTTTTACCTCATATTTCCTCAGATTACAGTGGTTTCTCCTTGGAAAATAAAGCCAAATGCCTTGACATACAGACATTTTATCATTCATATATGCATTGCATGCATTTGTAGGTAGATTTTATTATATTTTTGCATTATTTATATGCATTGAAGATGCTTTATAATAGGAAGCTCTGATCTGTATTTTACATTTTCTCCATCTTATTCTGTATGATAAAAATCTATTATCCTTTATTAATTAAGTTTATATGTATATACATATATATGTTTCAAATAACATTTTGGTATTTTAAGGTATAAATAGAAATACACAATAATGCTCTTATCACACTATGTATGCTATAAAATGCTGTCTACTTCTTTAGTTGAAATAGTATAATTTACTTAGTTTTCCTAACCATTGTTTTTTCTTAGAATTTTTATTAATTTTTTTATCATTGTATGTGTGTGGGTACTTGGGCTGCATGTTGCATTATACTTATGCAGCACTCACAAAGGCCATTTGATATTATGAACAATAAAATCAAAAGAGGTTGTGTGCCAACATATGGATGCCCAGACTCTATCCCAGATCCTCTGAGTGATGAATCTAATATCAGTTGATACTTAGTTTTCAGGGAGTTTTTATACCATCTACCTAGCAGCCAAACATGTGATCTTGACACAAGAAAATAGTCAAGTGAGGATTTTGATGCGTGAAGTGAAGTATTTTGAGAATTACACACTCATGAGCATGACATTCTATGTTAGGTAAGAACCTTTTATTCAAGTAGAATTAATGGTTTGTTAAAATGGGATTCAAAGCATTCAGCATATATTTCTGAAATGAGATTATGGGGATCTTATAATAATTCAAATAAAGCTGGAGTTGAGAGTCACTGCATCAAAAATATTGGGTTTTAGCATTAATATCTTGATGTTTTAATATTTAGTCTATTAAAATAGTTAAAACACTGAACTCAGGGATTAAAAACTACGTTGTGGAAAAAACCAATGCTTGCAGAAAGTAAAGTATTAATAAATGTAAATATAAGTAAAGGAAAATATGAGATAGTAACAGTAAAGTAGTATGTACAACCTCACTGTGAAAAATGTTCCTTCTCTTGAAAATCATCCTGAAAATTATACACTTACTATGGAATTAACATGGTCACTGGCATCACTTATGTGACTGGGAAAACAAGCAGTTTTATATTTGAGCCACATTCCTATCCACACATCCCAATTTGTGTAGGAAATAACATATCAAAAATACTATTAATGAAAAAATTTACAAACCATGGCATAGCAAAAGAAACTGTAAACATGACAATGAATATGTCTTCCTTTCAGCAAGAATAGACTTATTGAGGCAGAAACATGTGGGATAATGAATATTAAATAATTAGTGGTTATTATTTATTGTATTCTGTTTAGGAAAAATAGGAAGTGCCAACTACACACAGTTTGGGCCGAGAGACCACCACAAATTTGCTACTTACGGACATGTGAGTGTCTCTGGACAAGGATTGGTGGTGTTATTTACATTTTCTGTAACTAATCCCATCTTTATATGGAGTATCTTCAGGTGAGAAGTATTCTGTTGTACCTTACATTACAGGGAGAGATTTCTTTGTAAAACACAAAGAAAAGGTTGGGGCTGAGAAAATCGTTGGGATCTGGGTGTTGCGTGATGTCCCTCGTCATTTCCCAAAAATCTACTATGAGCCACAGCTACAGGGGGGGTTAATCAGACGTAAGTAAAGTCTCCATTATCTGTTTTCCACAACCATGAGGAAATAAAATGCACATATGAGTAATTACGTAGTAAAAAAAATTAACAAACAAACTAATAAATAATTACAAGTGATTCTAAAGTTGATCATGTACAGTCATATACATGACTTTGGTATTTTGTGTTACAAGATAATGGAATTTTCCCTGTCAATAATTTGATGCAAAATTTCTTATAGTTTTTATTGTCCTAGCAAACCTGCGATTATTATGAAAGAATTTTTGATGTTTTTTAGAAATAATATAATTAAAAATAACCACCAGATACAAATGAGTAGCATTATATGGACTCAAAAAATTATATTTATGAAAAATTATAAATTGTATTTATTTTATGCAGTAATATTTTATGTAATCTATATTATATATAATTTATATAAGCATGCAATGATAATCTGAAAAAGACACTAATTTCAAGGAGATTGTGGAGGGGCAGACACTGTAAATATAAGGAAGAAAGGAAACTGGCAAAATGATGTAATTATATTAAAATCTCAATAAATAAGTAAATAAGAGATTCTATATCATGTTTTAATGAAGCACAAATTGTTTCTTCCCAGATCCAAGTAAATTTCTTATTTCGATACATTTTTTCTCGAACACCACCATCATATTTGAAGCTGAATATGTTAATGATTTGGGGTTCGCACAGAGGCTGACTGGAGTATTTGGTTGGTAATTTTCATATGGGAGAAAGTATTTTTCTGTTTGTTAGTTACAACATAACTCTGGTCCAACATTTCATTGTGTGATGCATTCATGCAGGAAGATGTCCACACATGTGTTCTCAAACACGATCAGTATTGTGTAAAGTTGATTGGAATTGTACAGGATAATAATTTTAACAATACTTTTAGTATTCTTGATTTCTAAATAAGAGTGTTAGATATGAGGGGGTAGAAATTTATTGATACATTCACAGAAAGAATGTTTGGCCTGACATCAGAATGATTTGTCTGAATGTAATCCTCATTCAGGTGGGTATAACAAAGTAATGGGATTTACCAACAATTTGATGAATTCAGACTTTTAGGTTTGATGATAACAAACATGTATTCTAACTTTTCCTCCATGAAATGAAGCAAAGGGAACAAATATTACTGAAGAAACATGGAAAAGATATGTGAAGCTGACACAGGACTACAAAATCCCTTTAAAAAATATTGAGAATGTCTATGAAGCAGGTATTTCAGTTTCTGTAAACTGATCTGAAATTAGAGCAAATCACAAAGATTCTTTTTTTGTCTTAGCAATGTAAAATCCTTGGAGAATATATGAAAGAAATACAGTAATATTTTTAAATTTTCTCCTTTTTTGTTTCAATTCACAGATGCATGTCCTAAGTGGGAGCATTGACTCAGTCAGCAGAAGCATGGAGCATGTCATTGTTGGCTACTCATTGAAATCAATTTTTGAGGTCTATTCAATCATGTAATCTAAAAGTATTCATATTGTCACTCTGGAAATTCTGTGTATACTCCTTTTATCAATAATTAATACTGATTTCATCTTTGATTAAATACATCGATTTCAAATATTGCAAAAGTGTTTTCAAAAAGTACCCAATGTGCATCATGCAGTGGATTCTACTAAGAACCAAAATAGTGGCTGCCTCAATCATCTCACTGTAAATTTTAAAACTTGGCAGGTAGAAATTTATAAATTTCCTAAGCATGTCATGTATTTTATATTATCTATGTGAATTTTTCAGAAAAAAATTCTAAAGTATTTTATAGGAACACACAGTGTAAAGTGTCCCCCAAATGGTGGATTCTCATATGTACACATCTGACCAGGATTTATAACAGATGTTTTCAGAGTTGTTTCACTAGAGGCAATCCTACAACTATCTATATCTATATATCTATGAAACAACAATTATTGAAAGATTGTTGTTTTATGCTAAAGTTTTATTAGGCAAGTACATTGCTTTCTTTCTTGTTGTTAGAAGGAGATAGACACTGAAGTCAAAAAATATGTTTAATATTCTTTAATGATATATATATTTAATGTTTACATAATAAAGTACAATAATTCAATTATTATTACTTTACTAATTATCCACAGCAACTGTAAGCATTTAATGGAAGTGATTTTTCAACTTATCATTTCATTTATGCCCTCAGTTTGATTATTTCCTGGTATGTACTCATCCAGGGGAAATTTGCTTCCATTTGTTTGAGAGCTTTCTGCTGTGATGTCAATTCTTTTGTGACTATTCTCTAGGATATTCATGTGAGCACTTAGAGCAATGAACTTTCCTCTTAGTACTGCTAACAATGTGTCCCACGTGTTTGGGTAAGGTGTCTCTTCATTTTCATTGAATTCTAGGAAGTCTTTAATTTCCTTCTTTATTTCTTCGTTGATCCAGTAGTGATACAATTGCACATTGTTCGGTTTCCATGAGTTGGTAAGTTTTATGCAGTTTGTTTTATTTTTGAATTCTAACTGTAAAGCATGGTGGTCTGATAAGACACAGGGGGTTATTCCAATATTTTTGTACCTGTTGAGGTTTGCTATGTTGCTGAGTATGTGATTGATTTTTACAGAATGTTCCATGTGATGCTGAAAAGAAGGTATATTCTTTTGTGTTTAAATGGAATATTCTATAGGTATCTGTTAATCTCAATTGGGACATAAATTCTTTTATTTCCTTAGTCTCTTTGTTAAGTCTCTGTCTATTGGTCCTGTCCAGTAGTGATAGTGTGGTGTTGAAGTCTCCTACTATAACTGTGTGAGGTCTTATTTTTTATTTGAGTTTTAATAATGTTTCTTTTATGAACGTTGGTGTCTTTGTATTTGGGGCATAGATGTTTAGAATTGAGACCTCTTCCTGATGGGTTTTTCCTGTGATGAGTGTAAAATGACCTTCTTCATCTCTTTTGATTGATTTTAGTTTGAAGTCTAATTTGTCAGGTACCAGGATAGCTACCCCAGTTTGTTTTGTGGGTTTATTTGATTAGATTATTGTATCTGAACCCTTTACTCTGAGGGTATGTCTGTCTTTGAGGTTGAGGTGTGTTTCTTGGATGCAGCAGAAGGATGGATTCTGTCTTCATATCCATTCTGTTAGCCTCTATCTTTTTATTGGTGACTTAATTTTATTAATATTAAGAGAAATTAAGGACCATTGAGGGCTTATTCATTTTTGTTTTTGATTTGTTTTTGTTAGTGGTATTGTATGTGGATTTACCCTGCTTTTTCTTTGGGGTTTTGGTAAAGTGGGATTATCTATTCCCTATGTATTTGTGAGTGTAGTTAATTGCCTTAGTTTGGAGTTTTCCTTCCAGTACTTTCTGTGGGGCTGGATTAGTGGTTACATATTGTTGAAATCTGGTTTTGTCATAGTATATGTTGTTTTCTCCATTTATAGTGATTGAAAGCTTTTCTGGGTATAATAATCTGTGCTGGATTCTGTGTTCTCTTAGAGTTGTTAAAATATCTATCCAGGTCCTTCTGGCTTTCAGAGTTTCCATGGAGATATCTGGTGTAATTGTGATAGGTTTGCCTTTATATGTTATTTGACCTTTTTCCTTTGCTGTTCTTAATATACTTTCTTTATTCTTTACGTTTTCTGTTTTAAAATTTATGTGACAAGGGGACTTTCATTTGTTGTCCAATCTATTTGGTGTTCTGTAGGCTTCTTCTACTTTCATTGGCATGTTTTTCTTTAGGTTGGGAAAGTTTTCTTCTATGATGTTATTGAATGTTTTCTGCACCTTTGAGTTGGGTTTCTTCACCTTCTTTTCTACCTATTGTCCTTAGGTTTGGTCTTTTCAAGGTGTCCCATATTTCCTGGATATTTTGTGTTAAGGACTTGTTGGACTTAAGATTTTCTTTGTTTGATGAATTTATTTCCTCTAGTTTATCTTTAGCATCTGAGATTCTGTCTTCTATCTCTTATATTCTATTGGTTATGCTTGCATTGTGGTTCCTGATTGTTTACTCAGCTTTTCCACTTACAGTATTCCCTCATCTTGGGTTTTCTTTATTGTCTCTATTTCAATTTTCAGGTCTTGGACTGCTTCCTTCAGCTGTTTAATTGTATTTCCATGTCTTTCCTTGATTTCTTGCATCTTTTGGTTTGTGTTTTCTTCCATTTCACTGAAGGACTTTCTTATTTCCTCTTTTAAGGTCTCTGTCATCTGCATGAAGTAGTTTTTAAGATTTCTCTCTTCTGCTTCATCTGTGTTGAGATGTTCAGGTCTTGCTGGTGTAGAGTCCCTAGACTCTGGTGATGTCATATTGGTTTTCCTGTTGTTGGATGTGTTTTTATATTGTTCTTTTCCCATCTCTTCTTCCAGTGGGTACAGGTGGTGTCTCTTCCTTTCCTGTGTGTATGGGTCCAAGGTTGTCTTCCCATCAGGGCAAGAGAGTCCCATACTCTGGTGGGGTCTTTGGGTGGGTGTAGGCCCATCTGAGGCACTTCCTCTCCAGGTGGGTGGGAGCAGGACTAGCACAGAGATGTCATCAGACTCAGGCATGCTTGGTCCTCAGGGGTTTAGTGGATCATCCAGCAGACCTCAGGATGGGAGTTCACAGAGTGGGCAGGTACAAGTTGGGCCCAAGGCAGGGGTTGAACCAGTTCACCTCTGCCCTCAGTGGGGGTAGGAATAGCCCAGCAATCTCAGAGGACTCAGGGTTTCTTGGTCCTCAAAGGCCAAATCAATCTGCCTGCAGACCCCAGGACGGGAGTTCCCTGAAAAGATCATTTAATGTACACACATACAGGAGATAGAATGTCTTCACTAGACATGTGCTGCTGCTTCTGGTGTAGGCATGCCCAGTGCTATGAGGAAATTCTAAGAATTTCATCAATTATTAAAGAAGTTTCATTACAACTTTGATATTTTCAAAAATTATATTCTGATTATAGCTTTCCCTACCCCAGATCCTTCCAGATCCTCTCCACCCACCCAAATCCACACCGTTTCAGTTTCTTTCACACTATAATATAAAGTAAATTTTATTAAACAATAAAAAGCTATACAACAGAGTGTCCTATTGATGTGAGTTGTTATAAGACATTCATAATTTTGGCTGAGGCTGAAATAAGAGTGGGAAAATTACAACAGTTTTGGTCATGCAAACTTGAATTTTGGTGGGGGTGGGTGTGTGTGTTCATCTCACAGGGTCCAGCCCACCCAATGTCATGATTAGAAACATTGCCTCTACTTCTATGTCATTCTGTGTTGTGCTTAATAATGCACAGTGACACTTCAAGATTTTTCTTGTTTGGTGTGGATCCATAGGCTTATTTTAATATACAAAGAACTATAAACAAATACAGAGCCCTGAGTATGGAATAATTGTCACCTCAGGGATAAGATTGCTAGTCTTTTATCCAGTACAAAATGATCAGCCCTGAAATCATATATACCCAGAGAACAAGAAAAGGATGCAGCTAGTACTTTTGATATATTTACATAAGCATTTATGTCTATAAATGTAGCAATGATAATTAGTCTGTGAATGTGAATAGGAATAAGCAGGATATGAGTATTTGGAAAGAGGAGAGTGTGGGGATCAATGAAGTAACTATATTTGAATATCTTATATAATTTTGAAGTGTATGTTTTAATATATAACATTATTATATAACATGCATTTTCTAATAATATATTTATTATATATTATATAAAGAATTTATGTTTGGGTAATAGATTTAATTCTTACTTATTTGTATAAAACATATACATTTAAATAGTGTTTAATATTTAGGTATTAATATAAATAAATTAAACATATCTTATATGTCTTTATAGATAACATATAATTGTACTGTATTTGTTTGAACAGTAATGAAAGCCAATAGGCTTATATGTTTCCATGCTTGATCTTTAGGAAGAGATGCTACTTGACAGGGATTATAATGTTGGCCTTCCTGCAGTTTATCAGCATATTTTAATGTGATGAGATTTTCATATAGGTTCTTGATTAACTTTTGATGTTCACCTTCTCTCTTATTCACAGTTCTGTTGCTGTGTAGAGACACCATGACCAAGGCAAGTATTATAAGAGAAAGTGTTTAATTGTGGCTTTTCTTAAAGTTTTAGATATTTGGTCTATGATAACCATGGCAGGGACCAGGGCAGCATTCCTGGAGCGGGACCATTAACCAAGAGCTCCATACTCATCCCTAGGTTCTGAACTTAAAGGTGAAACTCTTCCTGACAACACAGTGTGCACAGCACTTAAAGTCATCAGAATAGAAATAACCCAGAAGCTTCTTCCCTAAGGACTGGATCACATAGTATCCTAAGATGCTGTTAAAGTTCCAGTGAGAAAATTATGGAGTATTCAAGTGAGAAAAACATCAATAGTCCTATCCAGCTATAAAACCAATGAGACATCACAATGATTACAATGGCAAAATGCCCTAAAGGTGAAATAGTGCAAATTATTTTTGTGTAACCAATAGCTGTTTTAGTTTAATGAGAATTTTATATGAATTATCTATTTACATAATACCCACCCTCAAACCGCTTCAGCATCTCCTCTGTATTCCTACTCCCTCTCAAGTTTATTGCCTATTCTTTAACTTTATTTACACACACACACACACACACACACACACACACACACACACACACACAGATATATATATTTTCAAAAAATACAAGTGATTGTGGGACTCTTAACCCAAATAATATGTCTACAACAAAATCCCTACATCTAAGGCTTAGGGAATCTTACAGAACAGAAAGCAGAATCATCATAGGAGAAAAATAACCAGGACATGAGCTCTGAGGTTGCATTTTCTTCATACGACAAAGGTTTTGCACCAGTGAAATCTCAACAATATGGTTGCCTAAACATGGCCTTCATAATATCAGGCATAGTTGATATATCACTAGTGATGGGGAAAATTTTATAAGATTTCATCTTAAATAAAGAAGAGAGATAGCCAATTAGGGATTGATGTGTGTGTGTGTGTGTGTGTGTGTGTGTGTGTGAGAGAGAGAGAGAGAGAGAGAGAGAGAGAGAGAGAGAGATGTTTTTTATATGTCCTACATGACCACAGATGTGAGCAAAATGTTTGGGTCTATAGACAAAACAGAATTCTGGATGGTATGTGATGATGCATGCCCTCATGTCTTACAACAGCTATGTTGCTTCTTGCTTCCTGGCATCACAAGAGGGTTTTTTTTTTTTTTTTCATCAAATCCCTATGCCAGGAAATGATCCAAATTCAAATCTGATGGAATACCCTCCACTAAACAATTACCATTGTTTTTTGTGATGTCAAAAGTCTGTAAATTGAACCATGAAAATGTTTGTGTGTGTTTTTTATTTCATTTATCTCAATATGTTTTACTAGTAAATTTGCATTCTTATTTTACCAATTGATTGTTTAAAAGTGTGCTGTTTGATTTCCCAGTAATTCATTTGGGTGATAATTACATTTTCCAGTCAGATTGCAAAAATTAAAAAAGTACCTAATGCATAAAATAAGTAGAGCAGACAGGCAGACACTTCAGTCAAATGGATTTTTAGGGCTGGTTTCTCTTCTGGATACTGAATATGACGTGGGCATGTACACTGACATGTTGAATCTATTTATTTAAAAATCCACTAGCAATTGAATCTGATCAATTTATAAGTTGGTTTACACATTGACTACTTTCAAGTAATTACAACTCCTTGAAGACATGATTTCATTTTCACTTTACCATATTTGCGTTTCCATATTAATCAATGAATATGGTATGGAACAAACATTAAATAAATTTGTTTTCTCATCAATTGAAAGTTAGTGGAAAATTGGTTTACTGAAAATAAGTCTAATATGAATATTAGCTTAAAATTGAGGTTACCTTTATATTAATATATAATGCTAGAGTTCTTTCTAAACTTCATAAAGAGGCATGAAGTAAGGGCAGTCATACTACTTCTAGGATAAATATCTATTTTTTTAATAATCTGTACCCTGTTACTGGTTCCTGTATGAGGATCTGAGGTAATAAAAAGAATGTGAAGACTATTATACCAGTTATCTGGAGATGCTTTGACAGATAACCACATATGATAGCTTAATTAACACTAATTCATAGTCTCTGTGTAGAGGAGGCTAAAAGTCAGAATCCCAGGTATCAGCACCTTGCTTCTTTCTAGAGGTAGTAAGAATATCTCTTCCTTAATTAGTATGACCTATATGGAGGACCTGCATGTGTGGTGATCAATTTCTGGTAATTTCAAGGCAGACCCAACATTTAGGACCGATGGCAGGAAAGAAGGTATCCCACTTACATGGGATGAGGGTCCTCATATCAGATAGGCAACATAGAAGACATATTGTTCCTGCTGGTTTCTCGTGTTTGCTGAAAATTTTTGGTGTTCCTTGGTGTGTAGAAATCTGTATATTCCATCTTATAATTATGTGTATCTATATTTTTAATCAATTCCCCTCACTTTTTATTTGTGTGTAATATACAAAAAATGAGCTACGATGGGGAATAATTAGTAGTGGATTAAATGATGGTATTCTAAAGAATGGGGGTAGTAGAAGTTGAATGTGGATGATTTATATGAAGACAGAGCATAGAAGAAAGCTCAGAGAAAGAAACTTGAGAAAGTATAAGGGCTAAGGGAAAAAATTGTGGAAATGCTCTTGTCTCATGGGAAGATGATTCTTTTGGCTTCTCAATTGTGACTGAGCAAAGGCTTCAGCTTTGGTGAAGATATTCTCCTCACTCTCCCATGTGATGGGCATCCACACAATGTTTCCTCATCCATGGTAGAGGGGTCTTTGAAGAACACCAGTTAGGTCTTAACTTATAAGATGCTACCTTTGCCTGAAGCTTTTAAATATAACCATTCATCTTTTGGAAAGCCTTAAACTAATGTATCCATTTAATTTATTTTAATGTCATTTAGAGAATACATTAGTTAGTATTTATATTTTCCTTGCCTTATGGATTCCATAGTTCTTCAGACTAGAGAGCAAGATAAACATTAGGAAATTTCTTTGTGATGAAATGTCACTAAGTGGAATCTTTGCATTCAGGTATGGCAAGGCCCACTTAGAGTCTAGTCTATACAGTCAAATATTCAATATCTGGGAGGCACAGAACACTATGAATTCTGTGACTCCAAGATGCATGCTATAACAGAACTTACATTGAAGCCAAAAGTGGTCCAGATTGTGAAAGCATTTGGGGATGATGAGAAACTGAAGACAGAAAGATGGATTGAAAAGTAGTGGTTATTGAATAACCCCCTAAGGAATAAGCTGCATGTGAAATGAACTGAGAGGTGAGAATCATGTCTCTCAGCTGGAGCTACAACTTCCATTTTTTTTCTCTTTCCCCCCAAACAGCAGCTGTATTCCACAAACTCTTCTTTGGATATATTTCAGAATGAAATAGGATGGAGTCATTTTTCTTTAAGAGAGGGAAGTCTCAGGAGGATTTACATAGTTTATTTACAAAGATTGCAATTGATTGTGAAAAGTAATTTCAGAGATGTTCCTTGAAAATATAAGCATGTATATGTGAGCCTGTGAGCATCTGACACTCCAGTTTAGAAGCATAAATTGTGCTTTCTTCTCAAGTTGACCTGGATTCTGACTCTTTCTAGAGACACTTAAACTTTCTTCCAGAATGATGAAGCAAAATGCATTTCTGGGAGAAGGGGTGGCTTTATCCTTGAGAGGATAGCCTTGACCTCCACAAGATCATTTCTTCCTGCCATGTAATATTCTTTCTGGTTCTTTATAGACTACAAGGAAAATCCAACCTCTACTCTGTCACTCAGTGCTATGTGTCCAAGCAAACACAAACCACTGGAGGCTCTCTCTAATCATAGTTCAAATTAGGATTATTTCATGTGCAGAATGATATGACAGATTTTGGGTGAGGTCCATGGAGGACCTCACCCTCACTGGGGAGCAGAGCGGGGATGGGGTGGAGGCTGGGGGCATTGGTGGGGGATAAGGAAAGAGGCGAGGGAGAGGGAGCTGGAATTGATGTGTGATGCAAGCTTTTTACTAATTTCAAAAACTTTTGAAAAAGATTGTTTTTAATTTAAACAAAATTCATTAAAAAAGAAAATAAATCAACAAGAAATTTAAAAAATGTTAATGAAACTGATATTTTTCATGTTGATTATTAGAGCCTAACTACTTTTATCAGTCTGTGTGTATAAGACTCTAAATCACAATCTCTATTTCTGATCTGACAGCTGAGAATTAGAAGGTTGATTGCTGAGGGTTGCTAGATCTTACACGGATCCATATTGGCTCAATGTGTAAAAATATGAGATTTGTCAAGATGGTTCAGTTAGGAAAATGCTTGTTGTGCAATCCTTAGGACCTGGGTTCATAGCATAAGCTACTTTGGTTGCATAGGCAGTGGGGTAGTAGAGATAATAAGATACCTGGGATTCACTGTGTAAACACTCTTACCAATTTGTAAGATCCAGTTCAGTGATGCAGTGTCCCAAATAATAGGGAGGAGAGTGACTGAAAAAGCTGAAAAAGATAACCCAGTGTTGACATTTGGCCTCCATATGCACACACACACACACACACACACACACTGTGTGCAGGCATCCACTGACACACATATGCACACACACACATAAACACATACACACAAAAAACTGATGAGTATAATTGCAAATATTGATATGGTCATTGAGCATGTTATGCCTTCAGAAATTCCTTCTGCTGTCATCTATAGTACTGATAGTGTTTCACTTGTAAATACAGCTCATGTTGATGCAGTCATCTTATGCTCAGAACAGCTGGAAGAATAGCCTTGAGGCTTAGGAAAAAGACTGAACACTCATGGACTTCTTTGACAGCTGGCTACATCTGGGAGATGGAGTGACTAAAGAAAGTGAGCAATCATAAAACTCACGTTTAAGCAGAATTTGCTACTGAAATGAAATCGTTCCTATTTTCAGAGAGAATTTGTGATGAAAGTGTGTTAAAGAATGCTAACAAACATCTTTTATATTCCTGAATTCTAAATTAACCATGTGATAATAGCCACCAGTGCCTTGTTTTCTTCACACAGCTTGCTGGATCATCTGCAGCCTTAGTGTTTTCAGAGCTTGCATTATTTGTTTCCTTATCTTCTCATATGACCATTAGAGAGGAGAATTCATGGCTTATCTTTGTTGGAGGGTGCAACTGGAGGAACCTACATGCTAGGCAACCTTCCTAGGTTTAAACTTTATGTAAGAATTACATTTATAAATTATAAAATTAATACTTAATAAGCAAATATCTCCTATTTGTTGTGATGAACTCACTAAATATCAAAAAGATCTATATAATGTATTCTACAATATAAAAATACAGATAATCTCGTTTGGATAATAATAAAAAAAATCAAATGGCAGTTGTTCTTTTTTTGCATAGAAATAGGAAATAGTTCCAAAGTTTGTATGGAACTCTCAGATTCTAAATAACCAAAGCAATCCTGAGTAGAAGAGCTGGGCTGTTGTAGGAGTCACAGAATCTGATTAATTATCATTTAAGGTGTGTAAAGAGCCATTATGGCAATGCCCCCAAACCAGACATGTTGGTTAATGAATAGAGACCCCAGAAATAAACCCACTAGCCACATCTGACTGACTCCTAAAAAGACACCAAAAACATCCCATAGTATGTCTGGTGGCTAAGAAATTATGTCCATGTAAAAGTGTTGGAAACACAAAGGTCCCTGTACCCACAGATCACTAGAGAAACAAGGAATGTTAATCCCTCAGGGTTGCTTTCTCAAAGAAAAAATACCATTTTTCTACCCAGAAGGCTGGGAGTGGCTGCCATTAATGACCTGGTGACATTTGCTATCTGCAGCACCAGATTTCACCCAAACTCACCAAAATGTTTATTGGACTTTCTGTTCCTAGACCTTTATCTTTAGATTTGTTTCTCGGTGAATAGAACCCATTCTTAGGGGGAAGTTCACACGTACTATATAACTCGCTGACCATTGCTGTTAGGTTTAGAGACCACACCAGATCATAGGCACTTAACATCACAGAATCTATCTTCATAGACACATGCACTTTGAGTTGAGTTTTGATGTTATTGTGGCTCCATGTGCACAGGGGATTATATGAGGAACCTTTCTGCACTCAGGTACAGAGGACCCCTTTAAAAGATAGATCCATGCCCATTTATGCTCTCTCTACTCTCTCTCTTTTCTCTCTACACTCTCTACTCTTCTCTTCTCTGTCTGATTCTGATTCTCCCCTCTCTCTCTCTCTCTCTCTCTCTCTCTCTCTCTCTCTCTCTCTGGAGACTGGCCATGGCGATCAACCATTCATCCTGTTTCTCTTCTGCTTTAGTCTCCCTACTCTGCTGGGCCTATAATAAACTGGTTAATATGTCTAATATGTCTCACCCTATGTTTCTTCTTGTGCCTTCCTCCTTTTTTTCTTTATCTTTAATTTAAACAAAAATCTAACAGGTATATTCCATGGTTTAAACAAAAATCTAACCGGTATATTCCATGATACACAGCAGATCTCAATAGCACTAACATGAATGAAGAGGTGAAGCAGTGGTGGGAAAGACAGGGGGATGAAATGTTTCTCTCTGTTGTGTCTTTTTAATCTTACTTTCATTCTTTTCAGCTTTCCTTTGGTGGGGACACTGCAAGAGTGAATGGCAGGTACTGGAGGAGTACTCAGCGATGAGTGGGTTTGGGATGCAAGTTGAGAAATTTGAAAATAATCAATAAAAAAAGGAAATTAAAAATTTTCCTCAGACATTGCATGATGAGCAAAGAAAAAGAATGGATCCCGGGGTCCAGAGAAGAGGAGCCTGAATCCAATCAGACAGTGTACACACAATTTTGACAACGTATCAGACCAACCTGCAGGAGAGTCTGGAACTGAGATTATAAACATTGAGACATTCACACCTGAACTGAGAAAGCCTAGCTATGCATGCTATTTATGTATTTATAACTAAACTTAATACTAGGTCCCTAAAGACAGATTGATGGGGAGGTCTTGGCCCTCTGCCTAATGTAGCAAGATTGAATAATTAATATTTTGTGTTTTTCAGTTTTATGTGTGTGCTTTAGTGTCATTCTGCAGATATATGACTGTGTTAGTCTGAAAAGGCTCGGTTTGCTGCATGAAATATAATTTGTTAACAATTTATAGATGATTAAGCATTCTACCCATACATATGCAGATTTTTCCTTGATATCATAACCTAATACCAACTCATCTATACGGACACTTCAAATCTCTACACTCTATGGGTTTGGGAAAATTTGGGGAGCATCTGTTTCTTGAGTTAATTGACTTTATTTTCATAATATGTTTTTCCCTTGTAATTGGTTTTATTTGGTTTTTAAAATCAGGAGATTGATAACATTTCTCTTGTGAAAGAGAACTGGTAGACCCTTCCTCAAAGTGCAGCACAAGAATGGGTATGAGGTGTGGCTTTTGCAAGCTGTTTTTGTTTTGTTTTTTTGACATCACTTTTTATTGTCCTCTAAATATGAGATAAAATCCAGAACACTGAATGCCCCCATAAGGTGTAATATTCATGGTACAATAGTATTCAAGTCTGCCAATAAGGGTATATTCATGCTTCTTGGTTATAAGAATGGAATGTGCCTTTGAGTACAGACAAGCCACTTTAACTTCATGAAAGAAAACAAAAGAAAAAGTTAAATAGATGCTTAAAGTGCCTCCATTAAATTGGCCTTTGAAACATCTTCTTGGGTATTTTCCTGATTGATGGCTCATGTGGGAAGGCCAAGCTTACTTGGGCAGTGATATTCCTGTGCTGATGGTCCTGGGTGCTATAAGAAGGCAATTTGAGCAAGCCATGAGGACTAAGTTAGTAAGGCTCAGTTGCTACTTCCAAGTTCATTTCCAGTTTCCCTGAATGATTGACAGCAGCAAAACTTTCTCTTCATGATTGCTCCATAGGAAAGATTTAATTATTAGGATTTTTTTTAATTTCAAGACAGGGTTTCTCTGTTCAATTTGATTATACTGGAAGTCACTCTGTAGAGCAGGCTGGCATAGAACTCAAAGTGATCTGCCTGCTTTTGCCTCTCAAGTGCTTGGATTAAAGATTCACCCTATCAATGATAGGCTATGATTTACTTTAAGATGTCTGTCATAATAATTTTTCCCAGGAGAACATGTAATTCATCTTAGCTTCACATGTTCCTTTAAGTGTTTGGAAGTTTCATTTGAATTTTGAAACTTGCACCAGAAATTATGTGATTAAATTATTCTTCAACCTTTGCCCCTTTGCATGTGGCCTGGGCTGATGACAGTACTCATACTCTCTCTCTCTCTCTCTCTCTCTCTCTCTCTCTCTCTCTCTCTCTCTCACACACACACACACACACACACACACACACAGACAGACAACATATTTTGAATTATCCGTTGTGTTAAGTAATCACATATTCACAGGCCATCTATATCTTTTCTTTCTTCAGCTGTGTGAGTCTGGCACTAGTGTTCCTCCCTTAAAACAAAACCAAGCCATGTTTCTGAATTTACTTTTTTGGGGTTGATAGTGTTTCTTTGTTGTGTGTGCAGCATTAACTCCCTTGGGGAAATATATGAATTTGGGCAAATAAACAAGATTTTGATGACTGAAACAGACTTTGGGGTCAAGATTGGAATGAGCAGTAAATCTTGACTTTTAAGTGAAGACTCTGTCCTTTTGTCTCACCACCACTTCTAATTATGACTGGATTCAATCAGATTTGGCCAATTCTCTTGAACTGTAGAAAAATAGAGCATTCAGTTGTGCTGAAGTCAGGAACACAACTCAGGCTGAGGCTACTCTACTCTGAATATACCAAGGAGACAATAACAGCATTGGCAAAATATAAATATACAGTGAACCTGCCTGGGATAAATCTACCCCAAATGATGTGACAGACTTTAATGATTCCCCATGGGAGTTCTTACCCTCTCTGAGGAGTGGATGGAGGGTGGGATGGGGAAATGGTGGGGGAATTGGGATGATAGAAGGGAAAGAGAACTGGGATTAGTATGTATGTAAAATAGTTTGGTTTTTAATTAAAATTTGAAATTTTCAATCGGATGAAGACCATACCATAAGATGTTTTTCTAAACTATCTCTTCCTTGTTTTTTGTCTAAGTTTCTATCATTATGCAAAGTTGTCTCCAAGAAAGCCTTTCATAGGTCCCTTCATCCCATGGTGGACCATCCTTAATTTACATTCAGAAATCTGGCTTCAGGTACCCTGAGGTGTCAGGCTTACTTTGTTACTTAAGGCAACTTGCAGACTTGCCAAAGGAACATTGTAACATTTGCTGTAATCACAGTCTGATTTCCAGGAAATTTAACAGATGATCTCCCACTTTTTAGCTCTTAATGGGAAGCCTGAATTTTGACAGAATAAAAATGTATTTCATTATCCTATGAATCACTTTGTTGTAAATAAAACATGCTAGAAGGTATCAAGTTTCTCCTTACAATGTAATTGATTGCAGTTCTTTACTCTTTAACACATCAATGAAATCCTATAATTTCTTTAAACAATTGTTAGGACAGTGATACAGAGAATCAATATTGTAGCACTAACTGGTGTGAAATAAGACCATCAGGGTTGCATACTAAGGAGTGATACAAATTAATCAACATAAAAATGTCAAAACCTATTGCAAGAAAACTAGTGACTAAGAGAGGAAATTTGATTTTTTTTATTTTTTTCCTCACCTGACAATTTTGAAAGTTTAAATCATATATAGGAGTTTACCCTGAAGTATGTTATGTGTGGCTTCATTTTATATAAAGCCTCATTCATATAAATGTGAAGTATAATAAATTAACTGGAAAGAATGAAACCACAATATAAGTGTTCATCATTGTGGTTTCAGTTGTTTTTAATGAACCACTTGTATCTGATAGGTCCAGAATCAGAATATGCCTTCTGTATTCTACACATATGGCTGTTCACTGCAGATCAGGACTCCAGTGGATGCTTTTCTCTTCATAGTAGCTAACATAGGGTGTGGAGGGGGTTTCTGTTCTCCCTGGTCCTGAAGCAGTTTACCCCAAATAAACACACTGGGACTTATAATAATCATAAACTTTTTGGCTGATGGCTCAGGCTTCTTATGCAATAGCTCTTTCTTAATTATTAAGATATTTCTATTAATCTAAGACTTTCCACTTGGTCATCTCTTAAAGAGAATGTCAGGACTTAATTTCCCACTTGCTCCATGGCATCTCCCTCTCAGCTTCTTTGTGTTTCCTCTCCCCAAAATACTCCTTGTCTGGTAGTCCCACCTATAATCATTGCCTGGCTACTGGCCAATCAGTGTTTTATTCATCAACCTATAAGAGAAACATATATACAGAAGGAATCCCCCATCAATAGTAATCAGCTAAGATGTCCATCAAGAGATGATTGAATAAATAACATATAGTACAATGACACAGCAGATTATCATTTAACTGTGGAGAAAAAAAGCTCTCAGCATTTGCAGGAAAATAGAACTATCTAGAGATTATCATGTTAAGTGAAGTAAGCTAGATTTTGGCACAGAATTATATTTCTTTCAAAATACAGAGTGCAAGTTGAAGTATATATGCATGTTTGTCTGTGACTCTATCTTTTTACCTGCCTCTCTGTCTGTCTTTGTTGCTGTGTCTCTGTCTTTCTTTCTGTATAGAACTAGGACATGGAAGTTGAAGTTAGTATTATGAACAGGGAGGAAAGAGTCTGTAAGAAGGAAGAAGAACAAGGGAGAATGTGACATGAAGCAGGACTCTCTGGAGGGAGAAAGGAGACTTGCCTAGTGTTGGAGAATAAAGGCAGCATGAGGCCTCCCCCTTGTATACCAACTAAAAAAATAAGGGGAATTAAAATTGGAAAAATTAGGGCTATACATTTAGAGTCTACATATATAAAAGTATTTTCATAAAAGCAAGGGTGTTTTGTCATGGAAGTCATACTAGAGTTGCGACATGTATTAGAAGTGCTTTTGGGAGAGAATATGAACCTTGAAATAATGAGAAAAACCTTCTATTTACATTGTATTTTGCCTCCATTTTTCAAAATTGACAATAGTTCTCTCTATGTGGTTTTAGATCACTGTATTGTATTTTGATATATTGATGGTGATAATTCTTGCTTTATAATAGGGCTATATCCCAACAAATACAAGATAAATTGAAGATACCATAAGGCACAACTCGATGTAAAATGCTTGTTTACTGTATTATCCTTGCCTGTCATAATAATGCTCTGAATGCTTATAGTAGCATGTAGATGGGTGAAACCTAGGAGCCAGCTAGGTATAATAAATGCTTTAATATGTCCTTCATACCTACATGTGGACAATATCTGAATCTATCAGCCAGACAATAGCTTCTCTGCCGGAAGACAAAGGTTCAAGTCCTTGCATCCATATGGCAGCTCACTGCTGACTATAGCTCTTTTTCCACTGTATCCAACACCCTCAGACAGATATATATTCAGGTAAAACAACAATGCACATAAAACACAAATAAATATGTAATAAATAACTGGGAATATCTGATACAACCACCACATAATGCTGGGAATTGAAAAATAATATCATAATTATAAATTCTATTCATAATTCACTCTATATTTTGTCCCATGTAAAAAAATTAAATTTTTAATGATAAATACATTTGTAAAATAAAGATGAATGTTGTAAGCATGAATATATAAGAAGAAAACACAAAACAGTATGTAATGTAACTTACCAAATACAATCAGCTTTTTTCATGATTTTTTCTGAAACTCAGTATATTTTACATGTTACACTGGAATGTTCATTGTTTAAGCATACCAAAATTATATTACAAGTCTATGGAGAATCTTTCAGTACTGAATATCAACTATGATTTCACTGCTATTATCCCTGAGTGATAATAAGCAAGATATGAAATAATTTTATATTAAGTATGCTTAATCATACTGGATGTTCCTGTTCATGGCAATGGTAACTGTTATTTATCATATAATTCAATAATCTAAAAATTCTCACAACTAATTAAAATATTGAAAACTCATTAACTATTACAATAAGATAAATATTAAACTGTTAATAATATGAATATTAACAGAAAATACTCACCTTTCCTGAGTCAGCGTAATTTCTGCCCCTTTGTACATTACAGTGGTGAATCTACATAGGTTTCATTGCAGTCTGGCAGATCTGGGAAGATACATCACCAGTGTGGTCTACATCACATAAGAGAAAAATTTCCCCTATGTCTTAACTTTATAAAAAATAAGTTTATCATCAGGTCCAGTAGCAATTTAGGGACTATTATCAATATGTTGACAATGGTATGTTAAAATTAGAAAACTCAAACAGTAGAATCCATACTGTGATCTAAGCAAGTAAAACCTGTTTCTTCCTACTTGACATTATAAGATATTCTGTATCAAAAACACAGCCATATTTATTGGGGCTTCTTATTACTCTGTTTATCAATTTAATATGAAAGAAAATAATTTTCATCTTTGTTATTGCATGAATTGCACTAGTGAAGAGACGTATTCACTTGTATATTTTCAAGCATCATAATGCTTCATAAAAGGACCTTTTATTTTCAATGTGTATGCACCTCCTTCATGGAGTACTCGACAGAGTGTTGCTTATGTATGCTATATATAAAAGAATATAACAGAATATGACATTGAGTTTAATTAACTACACCACCATCACACATCTGGAACAAAATGAAATATCCATTTATGTCAAGAAAATTAGTTGGGCAATAACAAATATAACTTGTTTCACTTTAGACTCTACTTCAGATCTGAGGTCTATTTTTCCATCTCCAAGCACTCATTGATCAAATAAATTTAACGTTCCTGATATTAAATCAACATTTTAGATACACTGAGAGAGAAATTTATTCTGACCAAGAAGAAGGGAAGGATTTGGAATATTTGTTTTGTGTAGCTCATAAGGAAACATGGGTGATTGATGTACTAGGTGAACCATTTAGAACACACATACTTCATGTTTGGATTTTTCACAGGATTATCACCCAATGGATTCTAAAACTCAAAAACAGGTAAAATTAAAAGGTACAACATTTTACATAGAGGGATACTCCCTGAGCCTAGACACATGGGGGAGGGCCAAGGCCCTATCACAAAGGATATGACAGACTCTGAAGACCCCCCCCTATGGAAGGCCTCACACTCCCTGGGGAGCAGAAAGCTTATGGGATAGGTAGGGTGTTAGTTAGGGGCAACAGGAGAGGAAGGGAGGGAGAGGGAACTGGGATTGACATGTAAAACATTCTTGTTTCTAATTTAAATAAAAAATGGAGAAAAAATAAGAATTATAAAAATGGAAAGGGATTTGATGTTAACAATGTATATACAACTTTGGAGGAGTTCCCAACTAAAGGTAGTTATATTAAATATTAAAATATGAGTACATGTAGGCTTTCCAAAAAATATTGGTTATGAACCATGCATGTTATACATTTAACGATGATGAATTAAATAATTCTATGATTGAAAACAAAAGAAATGTGCAACATCTGAAATGGCCAGATAAAAACATCACCAAACCTTTAATGGGTTTTAAAAACATCTGTGGACTTGAAAATGTGGCATTAAAAGATGTCTTTAAATATCTGTATTATTAATTGATTTAAAAATTGATTCACATCACATAACATTGTTGGTTCAAACATATAATGTCCCCTTATTTTCAGGAGACGTTCCCCAGTGTTTTGATGGGTGGCTTAGAAAGAGTTAATTGTAGCCGGGTGTTGGTGGTGCATGCCTTTAATCCCAGCACTTGGGAGGCTGATGCAGGTGGATCTCTTTGAGTTCGAGGCCAGCCTGGTCTCCAGAGTGAGTGCCAGGATAGGCTCCAAATCTAAAAGATGATTATTTTTTTTATAAACTGACAGCCAACTTTGTCAACCTGTACACCAGGCATGATTCTAGGCTATCTTTTCTAACTCCTCCATCAAACACAGCAGAGGGAACAAAGCCTCCTGAAGAAATGAGGGCAGAATGTGTAAAATTGCCCTGTACATCCAAAAATTCCTATTAAAACATTATGAATGTCTGTAAAACAGGTAATACCACTGCTCTTCTCTACCAAATAAACTGATGTCAGAGAAGTTCATTAATTCTTGATTCCAAAGCTAGTTTAGAAAAATAGTGATTAAAAGTACTAATGGGCCAGATATTTGTGGTGCATACCTTTAATCCCAACACTCTGGAGGCAGAGGCAAAGGCAGTCAGATCTCTGTGAGTTCAAGACCAGCCTGGTCTACAAGAGCTGGTTCCAGGATAGCCTCCAAAGCCACAGAGAAACCCTGTCTCGAAATACCAAAAAAAAGTGCTAATGAAATTAAATGGACTTTTAAGTAGTCATATATTAGTTTCCCCTCACAGACCTATGGCCTAAATGAAAGCGTTGACATTGTGAGAACAAAGTTGATAGTTAATAATCTATGCTAATGGGAATTAAAGCATTTTTTATTTTTAATCACTCATATTTACATATCAATCCCCCCATTCCCTCACCCTCCCCTCTTCCCATGTTCCCCACCCAACCCACCCCCTGACTCCTCTCCAGGGATAGTGATACCCTCTAACAAGGACCTACAAAGTCTGTCATATGGTTTGGGGGAGGGTCTAGACCCTCCTTGCTGCATCTGGGCTGCAATAGTATCTCTCCATTGGGGATGGGCTCCCAAAGTCCATTTGTGCTCTAGGGATAAAGACTGGATCCACTGTCAGAGGAGCCATAGACTGTCTCGGGCTCCTAGCTGGTACCCACATTCAGAGGATTTAGTTTGGTCCAATGCTTTTTCCCCAGCTTTATGATTATGGTTTCTATTCTATCAGTAGGTCAGGTGAACTGTTTCTGCAGGTCTCTCCATCCCTGTCTTGGCTCCTTTGCTCAACCCTCCTCCCTCTCCACAACTGAATTCCAGTAGTATGGTTGAATGCTTAGCTATGGGCGTCTGTGGATGGCTCAGCCGTTAAAGGCTAGGCTCACAACCAAAATTATAAAGCATATTTTTAAGTCAATCCAAACATTTAAACATCGAACAGTAAATCCAGAGAAGAGAACAGGCTATGGCTTAGGATAATATATGTAAATAACATGGGCTGTGAAATTAGTTTAACAAAATGCTTTTTATTAACAGACAAAATGAATCTTTTTAAATTGAATAGAAAATATGATCAATGTTTCAGAATACTGCTTTGAATCATGTATCTATGCTATGAAGACAGAACATCTCATAAATTTGATGCAGTTCATCATTGCCATATGTAAATCAGATATGTATCTGTTTCCCTACATGTTTAAGATTCTGGTCTGTATAAAGAAGCTCTCAATTCAATTGCAGAACAGAAGAGTTCATTCAATTAATGTGCAAAACAATATGTAAATATAAATTATAGTATTCATGTTCATCTTCAGAATTAGACATATAATGTGACCTCTTTCTTAGAATATCTTCATTATTGGCCCCTCTATTCACTCAGATATTTTCATTAAAGCATACAATATTAGATATTTTATCACACATTTTAGATTTTTATATATAGTCCATGGGTTAAAAAGCTTTCCATGTTATGTAGTATCAATGTCTTTGGGGTAAAATTCTCTAGTTTCATTTCAATTTTCCCAAAGAATCAAGAGAAGTATATAATAGAGCATTCCAACTCATTCTTTTGGTTTTTTATTATGCTTGCATTTGGCCATGTTCTTTCTGAAGGGGCAACACTATTCTGAGTATCTTTAATGTCTACTATGTATTGTATATCTAACAAAAAACACTACTTTTTGAATTTATTTCACATTACATAAGAAAAATGGGGGTTATGTTTGAAAAGCACAAAGGTGAAACAAATGAAAATATTTTAAGTTTTAGTATATGACCATTTTGCTATTTTATTTATTTTTATTTTTCTACATTCTATTATATATTAGCAATTCCAGTCTATGCTAGGTATGTTGGGGCACTCTGTGGTATCAGCACTTCCCAGGTATGATCAGAGAGCATAGAAATATGAAGAAACCCTGTACAGCCTCACAGGTTGAAGCCAACCCATTGACACATGAGAATATATCTCAGAGAAATATTCGTCTGGTTTTCTGTTACAAAAAGAATTTTTTCAATTAAACTTCATACAGTTAATCTTGAAATTCAACATAGATAATTTCATCATTTAACCACTATTCAGCTATTGCATATTTTATATTAACATAATATTCAAAGAATTGCTGTTGGTCAGATGTATGTTTAAGATGTTTATTGAAAGATGATTAAAGGAATACCAGATTACATACACAAGGAAATATAATCAGTCAACATTGCTGTTCTTGGATATGTCATGCTGTGTTCATTCATGCATAAAATGTCAACAAACTAGCTTGTCATAATCATGGGATTAGAATTCAGTGGAAGGTAGTGTTCCTGGTATAGTCGGGAACATTATGTTCAACTAAATTCTTATAGCATGGTTTTCAATAAAGCAATGCTAGACACATACAAATAATGACAATCAGACTGTTCTGAAAATTAAAAACAAAGAAATAAATAAAAGGCTCAGTGAAAGCAGGATCATCACACATTGTGCAATCTAAAATTCTTTGCATTTGTCATCAGTACATCATTTCACTGGCAGGTGAAAAGCCCTGGTTTTCCACCTCAGATGAAAGAGAAACTTCTAAAGATGAAGATTCTTCTACTTATTGCTGTAGCTTGTCTGGTGTCTACCATCGAGGAACATTTACCGGTACATGGATGGGCTTTCAAGGGGTTATGCATGAGCAAAAGGGGTTGTGGTGAATTTACAACTTTTTGGTCTGATGATCAATGTTATTCTATGAAAGCATTTGTGAACCTCCATGTCTTAAAATTCATTTGTATTAGATTCAAGATTTTAATTACTTCATTTTAGCTTCCTTTATTTGGCAATTTCTGTTTTAAGGTTATAATTATTTCATTTGTGCTTCCTGTACTGTCCAATTTCTTGGGTAAATGGTAGAAAAACAGATTTAAAATGCCATTATTTACATATCATATAAATTTACCATAACTAATGATATGTTCCATGATGACATAAAATAATCCTTTGCCTTAAAAGAATTCAGGGATGAATTTTGATAAACTCTATAGAAAATTTAAGTCAATCTAATATTTGTATGATAAACATATTGCATTTTAGGCATTTGAGACATGGATGTCTTTATGTTTTAGAGTTGTCCTACTATGGTCAATGTGTGGGATATTACTGATATTACTGACGAATTCTAATCCAATAAAAAGACGTGGTTATTTTTGAAGTTTGTGTGTGTGTGTGTGTGTCTGTGTGTGTCTGTGTGTGTGTGTGTGTGTGTGTGTGTGTGTGTGTGTGTGTGTGTGTGTTTGTCCATGAGTACTGCAGCAAGGATGTAGAAATCAGAGCTAAAACCAACCAGTAGTCAGTTTTACCTCCTTTCTTCCCAGGTCACAGTGGTTTCTCCATGGAAAATCAATCCAAATGCCTTGACATACAAAGATATTTTATAATCCAAATATGCATTGGATGCATTTTATATGGATTTTATTATGTTTGTCCTTTTGATTATTTATATGTATCGAAGCTGCTTTGTAATAGGAAGTAATTATCTGTATTTTACATTTTTCCCATCTTATTTTGCATGAAACAAAACTATTATCCTTTATTTAGTAAGTGTATATATGATTTCAAATAATATATTTGGTATTTTTAATATATAAAGACAAATACACAATAATGCTGATACGACATTATATGTGGTATAAAATACTGTCTACTTTTTCAGTTGAAAAACAATAATTTACTTATTTTTCTTAAGCATTGATTTGTCTTAAAATTTCTAAAATTGTATTCTGTCATTTTATGTGTTTGCATATTTGGTCTGCATGATGCATAATACATATGCAGCACCCAGGGAGGCCACATGATATCCTTCAGAAATGAAGGTAGAGGAAGTTGTGTGTCAACATGTGGCTAGTGGGACTTGAACCCAGACATTATCGGTGTTGAATCTAATACAAATTAATTTTTAGTTTTCAGGGAAATTTAAAACAATCTACCTGGCAGCCAAACATGTGATCTTGACACAAGAAAATAGTCAAGTGAGGATTTTGATGCGTGAATTGAAGTATTTTAATAATTACACACTCATGAGCATGATGTTCTATGTTAGGTAAGAACATTTTATTTGGGTAGAAATAGGAATCAAAGCATTCCCAATATATTTCTGAAATGGGAAGATAAAGTGGATCTAATAATAATTCAAGAAAAGCTGGAGTTAAGTGTTACTGCATCTAAAAATATTAGGCTTTAGCATTCATATCTTGATGTTTTCATTTTTCTTTCTGTTAAAATAGTAAAAACAATTAACTCAGGGAGTGAAAATTACATCATGGGAAGAAATCAATCCTTTCAGAAATTAAAATATTAATAAATGTGAATATAAATACAGGAAAATCTGAGACAGATAATATAAGAAAATTACTGTATATAACCTCACTGTGAAAATGTTCCTCCCTTTGAAAACTATCATGATAATTGAATACCTACCATGGCATTAATGTGGTCACTGGCATCACATATGTGACTTGTTAAAAACAAGTCAATTTCATATTTGAGGCCCATTCCCATACACACATCCCAATATGTGCAGGGATTCACATACCAAAAATACTATTAATGAAAAAAATTAGAAACCCATGGCATAGCATAACACAATATGAACATGGGAGAGAATATGTCTCCCTTTGAGGAACATTAGTCTTCTTGAGGCAGAAACACACTTGGGATAATAAATGTTAAATAATTAGTGATTATTATTTATTGTATTTGGTTTAGGAAAAATGGAAATTGCCATCTACACAGAGTTTGGGCAGATAGATTTCCAGTTAATTTCTGCTCAGAGACATGTGAGTATCTCTGGTCAAGGATTGGTGGTGTTATTTACATTTTCTGTAACCAATCCTATCTTAATAAGAAGCATCTTTAGGGGATGAACATACTGTTTTGTCTTATGTTGCAGTGTTGGATGTCTTTGAAAACTGCAAACAACAGGTTGGGCCTGAGAAAATCATTGGGATCTGGGTGTTGCGTGATGTCCCTCTTCATTTCCCAAAAATCTACTATGTGCCAGCACTAGAGGGAGGTTTAACCAGATGTAAGCAAAATCACCATTATCTGCATTCCACAACTTTGGGGAAATAAAATGCATATGGGTCTTATTATGTGGTTAATTAAATTAACACAAAGTAATAAATATATAATTACAGGTGTTTCTAAGTTGGTCATGTACAGCCATATACATGACTTTGGTATTTTATGGTAGAAGATAAGGAAAAGTATCCCTTCAAATAATTTAATGCAAAAATTGTTACATTTTATATTTTTCTAGCAATACTGTGATTATTGTGAAAGAATTATTTGAATTTTTAGAAATAATATAATTAAAAATAAACACCAGATTAAAAAATAACATTATATGGACTCAAAGAATTATATTTATGAAAACAAATGTTTATCTTATTCAGTAATATTTTATATAATACATATTATATAAAATTCATAATAATATGTAAACAAGTGAATATAAACATGCAATAATATTCCCTGAAAAATACATGAATTTCAAAGAGAGTTGGAGGGGTAGACACTACAAATATAAGGAAGAAAGGTAAGTGGCAAAATATATAACTATATTAAATTCCCAAATAATAATAAATAAATAAGAGAATGTTCATCATGTTTCAATGAAAGACAAATTATTTCTTCCCAGATCCAAGTAAATTTTATTTTTGGATACATTATTTCTCAAACACCACCATCATATTCCAAGTTGACTATATTAATTATTTGGGGTATCCACAGAGGCTGACTGGAGCACTGGGTATGTAACTTCCATATGGAAGAAATATTTTTTCTGGTTGTTAATTACAACATAACTCTGTTCCTGCATTTCATTCCATGATGCATTGGTGTATGAAGATGTAAACTCAAGTGATTTCAAACATGATCATGATTGTGTGGTCAAGTTGAATTATACAGTATAATAATTTTAAAATATTTTTAATATTCTTGATTTTTAAATAAGAATTTTAGCTATGATGGGATGGAAATTTATTTACATATACACAGAAAGAATGTTTGGCCTGATTTCAGAATGATTTGCATGAATGATGTCATCTTTAGGGAGGGTATGACCAAGTAGAGGGATTTACCAACAATTTGATGAATTCAGACTTTTAGGTGTGATAATAACAAACATGTCTTCTAACATTTCCTCCATGAAATGAAGCAACAGAAACAAATATTAGTGAAGAAATGTGGAAAAAATATGTAAAGCTGACGCAGTACTACAAGATCCCCTTAGAAAATATTGAAAATGTCTACAAAGCAGGTATTTCAGTTTCTGTAAACTGGAGAAAATCACAAAGATTCTTGTTTACATCTCAGCAATGTAAAATGCTTGCAGAATATATGAAGAAAATCCAGCAATATTTTTAAATTTTCTTCCTTTTTTGTTTTAATTCACAGATTCATGCCCTAAATCGGAGCATTGATTCCGTTATGAGAAGGAAGTTTGTTTGCTGTTCTTGACTCATTGGAATCAAATATTGAGGTCTATTCAATCATGTAAACATAAAGTATTCATAGTTGTCCTTCTGAAACTTCTGTACATCATCCTCTTATCAAAAATCATTACTGGTTTCATCGTTGATTAAATATATTGATTTCAAATGTTCCCAAATTTTTTCCAATAAAGTACCTATTGTGGCATCATGCAATGGGTTGTATTAGGAGCTGAAATAGTGGATTCCTCCATCACCACACTGAATTTTAAAACTTTTCAGCTGGAATCTTGTAAAGTTTCTAAGGATATAAGGTAATTTTTTTTCTGTGTGAATTTTTTTCAGAAAATTTCCAAATGTATCTTTTTTATTTAAATTAGAAACAAGCTTCTTTTACATGTCAATCCCAGTCCCCTCTGCTTCTCCTCCTACCCTACCCCCACAGACCCCCCTCCCATCCTCTTTCTGCTCCCCAGGGAGGATGAGGCCTTCCATGTGGAATGTCTGTCATATCATTTGGATCAGGGTGTAGCCCTTCCCCAGTGTGTCTAGGCTAAGAGAGTATCCCTCTATGTGGAGTAGGCTATCAAAGTCCATTTGTATACTAGGGATAAATACTATTCCACTACCAGAAGCCCCATAGATTGTCCAGGCATCCTAAATGACACCACTTTCAGCTGGTCTGGATCAATCCTATGCTTGTTTCCCAGCTATCAGTCTGTGGTCCAGGAGCTCCCACTGGATCAGGTCAACTGTTTCTGTGGGTTTCACCAGCCTGGTCTTGACCCGTTTGCTCATCAATCCTCCCTCTCTGCAACTGGATTCCAAAGATGCGGCTCAGTGTTTAGCTGTGGATGTCTGTTTCTTTTTCCATCATCTAATGGATGAAGGCTCTAGGATGACATATAAGGTACTCATCAATGTAATTATAGGGGAACGGAATTTAATGTAGCCTCTCCATTATTGCTTAGATTGTTAGTTGGGGTCATCCAACTAAATAGGGACATTTCCCTAATGCCATATTTCTCTTTAAACCTATAATTTCTCCCTCTATTATGATATCTCTTTTCTTGCTCTCTTGTATGCTTCCCTGACTCAATCTTCCTGCTCACTCATGCCCTCCTCTCCCCTACTCTTCTCCCCTTCTCTTTCTCCTAACTTACTCTCCCCTCCCCAATTATCCTATTTAACTCAGGAGATCTTGTCCCTTTCCCCTTCTCTGGGGGACCAGGTGTGTTTCTCTTAGGGTGTTCCTTGTTTCCTAGCTTCTCTGGCAGTTTGGATTGCAGGCTGGCAATCCTTTGCTCTATGTGTAAAATCCATATATGAGTGAGTACATACCATGGATGTCTTTTTGTGACTTGGTTACCTCACTCAGGATCATTATTTTAGTTCTATTCATTTGCCTGTGAATTTCAAGATTCCATTGTTATTTTGCACTGAGTAGTACTCCATTGTTTAAAGGACACAGTCAACAAGACAAAAGGGCAGGCCACTGTTCTGGACAGCTGCCTTCAGGACTGTGAACAGAGACAGCCGTACAGCCCTGGGTCCGATTCTGAGTGGGGGTGTGTGGACTAGGGAAATCTAACAACCCATTGGCGCTAATGATGTGGCAGGAAACACTATATCATCTCAGGAGGGCTCCCAGCTGATGCCAAGAAGCCACGGTTTATTAAGAAGACCATTTAAAATAGTCTTCCAAGGGCAGGGGCAGCATCAGGAAGCATCTATTATGATGTATATAGCTAATATCAAATGATTCTATTTACTCAAGCATTACCTAAACAGTTCCTAGTCACATAGACAGAGTTCTCAGCCCAGGAGTGGGCCTACTCAATATTTAGGCCCATAGAGATGCAAAATAGGAGGCATTCTACACTGAGGCCATGGGTTACAATAGAAGACTTGTTTGAATTAGCAATACAGTAGTGGGCCGGAGCTCCTGGGTGTTCCTGTTTGCTGAAACCGGAGGCTGGACCTTAAGAGATTCCATAATGGAAGTATTGTGGTCCCCAACAATACCTCTCTTGGGTCATGGTCCAGCTCCAAGCATTTCTGAATGAGAAAAAATCCTCCGGGAGGTAGCACCTGAGCTCTCACGGCTGCAAACGTTCTCCTGCGGCATGAAGATGTATAAAGGTTAAAATGGCCTTTTAAAATCTGTGTGGGAATGCCTCTAGTGCCTCTGATACAGACACTACTAAAGTTTGCTCTTTTAAACATATTTCTATCCTAAGGCTTGTAAATTACATGTTACATTTCTGTTAGAATGACCTCTGACTTCTAGTTTTTAATAACATTTGCATATCACATGTAACAAGATCACAGGCATTAACAATCTCATCATGAACATACACTAGGGTGAGTTACAATACAATCAAATTACATATTTTCACAACCTGTTAGGTGTGACCAATTTCACAATTCTAAACCTTTTTTCTTTATTCCCTGCCTGGGACTCAATGCCCTTTGAAACTTTCTATTTCTTGTTTAAGGTTCCAAGTTCTGACATCAGGTTTGTAATATCAGTCTTTGAATATTAATTGAAAAGTCTTTTGTCCATGTCTTGTTTAAGCATTGTGAAGGTCTTCTGCCATTCTGTTTTATGCCAGTATCCACCTGTCCTAAATGGGTCCTTTTTCACAATGGGAAAACTGGAAAATCAGTTTTGTGTGTCTGTTTGTGACAAGAAAGCAAGCTGTTTGTTGTAGAGTTCTTAGCCTGCTCAGGAATGAGCACTCGCAGCTTCAGAGAGGTGGATGTAGTCCGTCTTTAGGGCAGATGGGGCTCTGGAAAGCCTCTTGAAACTGGAACTGGGTGTGTCTCCTTCCTTCCTCTGGCTGCAGGTCAGAAGTCCTCAAGTTCGTGAACACATGTTCAGTGTTTCACTCCAGCTGGTTCAGATGGTCTCCTGTGGGCCGGGGTCCTGTTTTTTCTCTGTTCAAGGCATCTCACCAAACACTCCAGTAGCCAATGCATATTGTTCTCCTTCGAGAAAACACAGACATGTGCTAGACCCCTAATAATTACGGAGTCTGGTCCCCTCCACTGCCTGGTACATGAATCTCTCCATTTTACCTGAGTGAAATTCCCTGGAGTTCCATCATGCCAGAATCTGTCTGCATCAGTTTGCTCATTGGCATCCACATTTAAAAAGTTTAAGATAAACAGTGTGTAGTTTAACAAATCATGTGGAGACTTTGGGTACAGCTCCTCCCTTTTTATCTTTTTCAGCTGCGTTTTTAGAGCACTATGGGCCCACTCCACTATTCCTTGTCCTTGGGGATTATAAGCAATACATGTTTTGAGATCAATTTTCCATTGAGCGAAAAATTGCTGGAAAGCTTTGCTAGTATATTCAGACCCATTACCTGTTTTTTATAACTTTTGGTACTCCGTGTAAGCAAAACATCTTAATCAGTGACTTATAACATGTCTGGTGGCTTCTCTGGTTTGTGGAGTGGCCATTAAGAAATGTGAATACGTGTCAATTGCCACGTGCATGTATTTCAACTTGCCAAACTCTGTAATATGAATAACATCCATTTGCCATAGATGCAACCAGAGTAGTAGGCCTCAAGGATTTACCCCTAAATTAGCCACCAGTGGATACTGTGGGCACACTCTGAATTATTTGATCATTTGGCGAGCAGTTTCTCTGGTTAGGCAGAATTGTTTTCTTGAACTCCTGCTATTCTGATGATGAAAGTTATGATACTGACTTGCTCTCTCTACCTGAGACAGAGCAACTAGTTTTGTTAATTTATCTGCAGATCTTTTTCATTCAGCTAGGTGGCCCAGGTAGGTTACAATGGGCTCTTCTATGACCCACAAAACATGGCAATTTTCTCAGGTGAATTGCATTTTGAATTTGTTCAAATAACATTCTGACTTGACTATTACTCTACCCTATGCATGGAACTATCTCTATTATTTGGAAAGTCTTAAAGACATAGTGACTGTCAGTGTACAAATTAAATGAATTATTTACTAGGAGCTGAAAGACCATAGCAACAGCTTGAAGTTCGACTATATGAGCTGAAGCTGGATCTGTCTGCTCCACATATTCCTTTCCATCGATAATATAGGCGGTTCTCCCATTGGATGAGCCATCAGGAAAAACTAACAGCATTTCTTACAGTATTGGTTTTACAATTTGGGGGAATATAAAATGATGCATTATCATAAATTGCAAGTCCATGAGCTAGAAACTGATTATCAATTATCCCAGAAAACTGAGCAAAGGCAATCACAGATGAATCACTCTTCTGGAAAAACCAATTAACCTGTTGCTTGGTATAAGGGACATGTATTATATTTGGTTCTTTGCTAAAATAATTCCTGGATTCCACACAGCATTTTTGTACCATGCAGGCTACTGCTTCAAAATAAGGGTCTAATAATTTGGCTGGCAAGACAGGGTAGGTGTAGCCAAAATAATGGTCCCTCCTGCCACAGAAGTTGGACTATGCCTTGTAGGGAGCACATAAGCTTCCAATGGCTTTGCATAGTCAATATAACATATCTGTTGATGCTGAATTGCCTCCTCCAATTGTAGAAGGACTTGTCTACCTTCTTCTGTTAGCTTGCTAGGTGAATTAGGATCACTGTCTCCCTTTAAAATATCACTTAGAGGTTTCAAATCACCAGTAGGCTCTCTTAGAAAGGATGTAACCATTGAATATTCTCTATCAGTCTTTGAAAGTCATTCAAGGACCCTAAGCTATCTTTTCTAAATTCTAACTTTTGAGGTCTAATCTTTAGGATATAACATATGACACAAATATTGAAAAGGTGGCTGTCTCTGTACCTTCTCTGGAGCAATCACTAAGCCTGCCCTCTCAAGACTCTGCTGTAGCTGTCCATATGTCTCAAGCAGAACCTCTTCACATTTATGGGCAAGCAAAATATCATCTATATAATGAACAATATTGATCTGCAGAAATCTGTCCCTAACCACTTATATAGCCTGAAACACAAACTTAAGGCATAAAGTTGCACTATTGGCCATGCCCTGGGGCAAAACCTTCCAATAGTACCTCCTCATGGGCTCCTTAAAATTAAATGAAGGAATGCTAAATGCAAACCTGTGACAGTCCTGAGGAGCCAGGGGAATAGTATAAAAACAATCTTTTAAGACCACAACAATCTTATAAGTACTCTTTGGTACAGCTGCAGGGATGGGTAATTGGCTGTAGTGCTCCATTGACTACATGGTTTTTCATTAACATTTCTCAAATCTTGTATCAGCCTCCATTTCCCTGATTTCTTTCTAATCACAAAAATAGGAGAATTCCATGGGGAATTCAAAGGCTCAATATGACCAGCTGTTCCTGCACTCACTGATGAGCAGCTTGTATTTTCTCTTCTGTTAGAGGCCACTGATCTACCTATACTGACTCATCACTTTTCCATATGATGGGATCTTCATGGGGTGCAGGCTTCTCATTAAACCTCTGCTAAAAATGCCCTAACCCTGCACTGGGATGTCTCCCGTTAGGTAAAGTGGGATCAACACTCCTTTCCCTGTCCTGGCCCCTTCCTTGATGGGTCGACAATCCTTGCTGAGATACCTGATTAGCAAGAATTGCACTTGGACTATATAAGTATACTCACATCTGGGCCATAACATCTTGGCCCCACAAGTTCACAGGCAAATGAGAAAAAATGAATGGCTGAAAAGTCCCTTTATGCCCTTCATCACCTCTCAATGAAGCTCATCACTACTCTGTTCAGGATTCTGTGTCTGACCAATTCCTTGTAACTGCATAATAGTTGAAGTTTTCTGCCACATGGAAGGCCATTGACTACCTGTAATAACTGACCTGTCCACACCAGTGTCCAAGAGGCTGGAAAAGACCCTGACATTTACATATAAAGTAATCTCTGGGTGCTGAGGACCAATGGCCTGCAACCAATAGGCATCAGATGAACCAAACCCAGAACCTCCTCTCTTAAGTCTCTTAACCTGGTTGTTCTCACCTGGGGAAATAAAATCAACTGAACAAGCCTGTGTCCTGACCTTATCACCGAAACTCTATCCGGATAGTGAATCATAACCTTATCACTCCTTCAAAATCAGCATCAATCACTCCTGGAGCAACAAAAATTCCCTGCATCATTGTTCTACTCCTCCCTAGGAACAATCCAACAGTCCCACTCAGCAAAGGACCATAAACACCAGTGGGCAACAACGCTGATATCCCCATCTCTGTCATTAAAACTGCATCTGAGGCTGAGCAGAGGTCCAATCCAGCACTCCCTGCCGTGGCTCTGCAGAGGTTCTGAACAGACCTTCAATGGCAGGAAACCTCAGTTGAGTTGCCCCATAGATTTGTCTCGGGGCCTGAGGTAGGCCCCCATAGTAGTTTCCCTGCAGGGGATTTTCGTGGGCATCTCTCTTAGATCTACATTTGTATTCCCAGTGCCTACCCCTCATATACCTAGGGCACAGACTTGGTTCCCTTTTCTTTCCCCTGTTAGAACATTGCCTAACTTGGTGTCCCTTTTCACCACATCCAAAGCAACCTCCAGAAGGCTTCACGCCTTTCTTTTTCCCTGCATCTTGCTTTTTCTGTGGGAACAACATATCCTTAACTGAAGTCCCTTGAAGGTCGGCCACCATCGCCAGTCCCTTGAGTGTAAGCCGTTGGATATCTACACAAATCTTAATGAATTCATCTATGTTACTCTTTTTCCTGTGAGGCCTTAGTGTTATGCCACATTAGCATTCTCATAAGCCAGCTGCTTTATGACCAAAAGTCCAGTCTCTGTATATCCCATTATTCTAGGCAACGCTTGCATTAGTCTAGAGACAAAGTCCTAAAACATCTCATCTGGCCCCTGCCTGATTTTCATCAAATCCTACGTGGGCGCCACAGCAGCTGGAAATTTATTCCAAGCTCTTTTGGCAGCCGCACCAATCTGTGTGTACACTGATATCTCAAAATTTAGCTGCTGATCTATATTCTCGTATTCTTCTTCACCAGCAAGCATCTCACAAGAAACAGGAGGGCCTTGGGCACTATTTTTCTCAGCAGCAACCTGACACTGCTCTGCAAACTGTCTTCAACAAAAGATAATCTCCACAGAACTGGCAGGCTTTGGCTATCTGCTTCCAATCCCCTGGGGATAGAGCTTCTACAGCCATTTTCTCTACCAGCATCTGGGTAAAAATCGACGTCAGTCCATATTGGACACAGGCCATCTTTAGTTCCTTGAGCTGCTTTGAACTGTATCAGCACATGCCTTCTGCTTGTGTTCCCTTGAGCATCTATAACCTCCAATATAGGGAACATCTGAAACCCTTGTAATTCTTCTCCTCTGTCAGCTGCCTCTCTAATGATAACCTGCCCTAGAGACACCTGCCCTGCTGCAGCTGCCTGTCCTGGCTTAAGTGATGCTTGCAACTTGGGCTGATCTATGTTTGCAGCAGTTGCAGAAAAAAGCACCTTTCCCTGACCAGAGGAAACCTGTAAGGTTTTCATCTCTTGTGAGAGGGATTCCACGAGTCTTTCAAGCCTCTTAATTCTTGCTGCATCTTGCCCTTGGGTCTCTGCTCATCTGTTTTCCTAGTCTAATATGAGGGAGGTGAAGACACTTCACCCTGATGTTCAGTGACTCTCTCCTCATATTTTTCCAAACTACCTTTCTCTACATATGCTTCTTTTCCTGGTCTCTCCTTAGTAGGGATGGAGAGTCTCATCACCATGTTAACTGGTTCTGAGGCAGATATCCCCTGTAGCTTAGTGCCTGATTCTAAGCTCTCCCTTATAATTTTCCATAGCCAAAGAATATCTGTAGATACACTTTCAGACCCCTGTTCATAATAATGTCGGATTTTTAATCCGACCTCATTCCATACGTTGGAATCTATACTATCATGTGTGGGAAACTCAGGTCAAACATACTTTACAAATTCTACGAAATTCTGTACTCCTCAACTTCCGTTCCTTTATTTTTCAAAATCTCTCTAATTGACTGAACCG